CTGCCCCGCTATACTATTTATCTCATTATCTTTGTGTTTATAGGAATGCGCACGTGGCATGTTCACGGCTCCCAGAGACAATGATAGATGTGCGAAAATAGCCAAGGTAATTATGAGTGAAATGAGGCCGGCTGAGACACTCATTCCAAGGTTGTTTAGTCTATGTGAAACATATAATTTCCGTATGGAAACATAGACATTGCCGAACCACTAATTCCAAATTGAATTGGAACAGACACTGCCTATCCCTGAGCGTTCAGTCTAAGATAATTTTTTTTTTTTTTATTTCCAAAGTCTTTTCTGGCAAGTTCCTTTGCATTATTAACTGGACATTTTCTTCCATCCAGATTACGACCGGTAGATTCAAAGTAATATAAACAAAAGGATGTAGCTTGTTAATTTCACGTGCATTTCACCGTTCGCTTTGCTTTGTTTACTTTAAATCCTGCCTTCATTCGTCCAATTCAGATTGAACGAATTATGTTGTACATCGGCGCACGTGACATTCTGTCCCAAATTTCGTGTAGTTCTGTAAGCGCTCTCACTCGGAGAAGCAGACGGCTCATACGTACCCCCGTGTTGGTAACGGTTTACATTAGCCGTGTCGTATACCGTACATGTTCTGATTTTTCATTGCCTGGCTCTGAGCAGTTACAAAAACAGACCCGTCTGCAAAGGAAAGTTCACAGATGGCTAGATCAACTGCTCCACAAAACTACTAACTTCAGCAAATAAAACGTTCTTGCTTCAAACCAGTGTTTTACCTATCGTGTGATCAACGTGTTTTCAAACGTTAACGGATTTATTTTCCGCCTGTAGGAATTGAATCTAAATTGTGTTTTAAAAAAACATTTGCAGTTTGCCTTTAATCATTATTATAATTTCCAGATACATTTCGTGTAGTGTTGTTATCAAGAAAAACACGGAGTGAAATTAAAGCACCAAAAAAAAAAAAAAAACTGTAGCTTGTTGTTTGTGTCTGTGATTTGTTAATTTATCGCTGATGAGGCCGTTTTGGCCTAAATCTCCAATGTGGAGTAGAAATGAAGACCGTAAAACATCACTGTATATTCTGTAGTCGTAATTACCCCGTCAAGAGTGTGTACTACACACGTTAGGAGCCTAGAAAATGCGGTCCGATCACTTTACATTCTTGGTACTCATCGTTTTATCATCTGCCATTGATATCTGCACGTCGAGAGTACTGTTCAGAAGACCAGGATCTTACAACACTTTCATGAGACAGGTGTCGTTAAACTACGAAAAGGCCAAAGTGGAAACATTAGGTGACATCTTCAAAAGGCATGTACAGCAGCTAAGGCACACACAAAACAAACAGGTGGAGCTTGTTTTCCTGATTGACAGCTCAGGGACTGTTGGTAGATACTATTTCTATGAAGAGATCAGGTGAGCAATGGAAATATTACATTTGGTCTTGTTACTTGTTAAATGTTATTACTGTACTTTTTAATAGTTAAATATCACTCTCATATATTGATACAGCTGTAATAATTAAAACATCAGAGTTAGACAGACAGACAGACAGACAGGCAGACAGGCAGGCAGGCAGGCAGACAGACAGAGACCTTACAATACCTAAGCTGTAAAATAAGGTCCAAGTGATTGTGTGAACTGTCATCCCAGCTCTCCAGCCAAATTCATAATTGCTCCGATCTGCTCCTCCACAAAACGTCTCTTCTGTGTTGATTAATCACACCTCTCGTGACAGTAACTCTATTTTTTTCCACTGCCCCTCCACACGCCACCCCAATCTCTAACAATCCCAGAACGTTTCTGGCAATTTCTGGTCCTTGTGAAAAAATCCCACTAGGGCGTGTAGTGTGCGCTAAGTACATACCAACTGGCTCAACACAGAAAGTTTGGAAACACATGACTCGGTGGCTGGGAAAGAATCTAGCCACAATTTACATAGTCTGGACTCATTGATAATGAAACGTTTAAAAACAATCAGTTGCTAACGTTCAATGGCTTATAATAAGAAAGCAAAAATTACATAGACTTTGTTTAAAATGCACTTACCTCAAGCATAAACACATATACATTTGTGTGTGGTGTTTGTGATGTGTGTGGGGTGTTTGTGGTGTGTGTGTGTGTGTGTGTGAGTGTGTGTGGGAGCACCAACGCTCACCCTTGTGTAACTGGGACCACAGAGATGTATTTTCTTAGTATAATTGAAAAAGTGCCACGGATGGCTACAAGGACAAACATAGGTCAACATATCAGGTATTCAGTTTCTGCCGTCGGTTAAGAGGCGAAACGCCTGAACATGATTATGACACACAGAAAGATGGACAGAGTCAAAAGTCAACAGGTAGGGCTGGCAAAGATTCCATGAAAGGTATAAGCTGTATAACTTATTAAAAGCTTAAAAAAATTGTTTATAACTGAACGTATGATATATGATATATATATATATATATATATATATATATATATATATATATATATATATATATATGTGTGTGTGTGTGTGTGTGTGTGTGTGTGTATACATATAACATTTATCATTAGTGTGTGTTGTGATACTAGGAGCACCAAATAATAAATATGAATAATTAAATGTAAATACAAGAAACACCAATACAACTGCAAAGGTAAGGACAACTTATGAGGTCTTAAGGTGAGCCAAGAGGGGGTTGGGGAGGGGGAATAGCAGTAGTAGCAGCAATATCAGATTAAGAATAAGTAGCAGCAGCAACGGTAGTTGCAGCAATAGTAGCTTCAGAAACAGCAGCTGCAGCAACGGCAGCTTGCCACAACCACAGCAGCAGCAGGATAAGAAGATATAGCAGATGTAACCGCAGCAGCAGCAGAAACAGCAGCAGGATCAGTAATAGTAGCAGCAGTAACATTAGTAGCAACAACAGCATTAAAAGCAGCAACAACAACAAAGCCAGCAGCAGAATAAGAAAACAGCAGAATTAGCAGTTAACAACTGTCTTTTTCTTACGATATTCTTGGTCACGTAAACAACAAAAAGCCACCAGAGTAGTGGTTCTCCTTTAAGGCTCGAACAAGCCTTTTACATGCGTCGCCTAAGACCATCAGAAAACACATATTCACTGAAGTTACAAAGTAACAACGAAAATAATTTTATGGTAAGGGTCACTACAAAAAGAGAAACTGTATGAAGGAGTGGCGGCATTAGGAAGTTTGAGAATCACTGCCCTAGAGAATGTAGAACTCTTTCCTTTCAGAGCAACAGAAACAGCCGCTAACTTTTGCTGTGCGAAAAGTTTAATGTTTCCTTTCAAAAAAATAATATAAAGCCTCTGACAGTTCTTCAAAAAATAGTGTTTACTATGGGGGGGGGGGGGGGGGAGAATAAAGAGGATGTTTACAGGAAAAAAAAGTATTAATTACGACGAAATAGTAGTTACTGGTCTCTGCTTTTCGGATAAAATACAGTAAAACCTCAATTTCGCGAATGTCATTGACCGAAAATTGAGTTCGTGTTTTGAAAATTCATGTTAACCCCAGACTAACAACAATTTTACATTCCAGCTGCGACCAACACTTTGTTCTCGTTAACATCATCCTAAGGGAGTTTGTGTTAACGAAGTTTTATTGTAATTTTTTTTTTTTCGTCTCTACTTCTTTCCCCTACTGGATAGCCTCTCGGGGAGGAGGAGATCTTTAGAACGGGTCCTTCTTTTCGTTTCGTGTATGCATTTTTCAGTATCTCTAAAATGTCTACTGTCCATCTTCTGTGTTGTCGACCTATGGCTCCGTTACCACTGTATAAAAATTAACATTGCTCTCTGTGGTGCCCTGTCTGGTTCCAATCTTGTTGCATGGTTGAACCATTTGATTCGTTGTCTACCGATACTATTGCTGTGCCGACTCTCCTCATGATTTCATCGTTTCTAAGTAGATCTTTCCTTGTTACCCAGTTTTTTTTAAAATTAGAAACTGTGTTCTTAACCCATGAGCCACAGATGCCCAATAAAGAATGGAATTTTCACAGCGATCACTAAAAGATGCTTCGCGAGAGGGAGTGGGGGGGGGGGGGAATTAAGATACAAAATCAGTGGGGGAAAAATTAGAGGTCCATTCCAACCCTTCCCAACACTGGATAAAATAAAGATACTGGGAAACATCCTCCCAACGGCAGAAGAAACTAAGCCAGCAGACCGCGCAAATGAAGCAAAAAAGTTACATTTTAATATGAAGACCAACGCGATGAAACTTCAAACTGAAACCTTAAAAAAATGTTGTCAAGCACGTCTTTAGGCGTATTATGGCATAAGGGGCCAGACCTATATTTTATAGCCCAATCGGCACTTGGTGGGTTGTGTAGTCAGCATAACACCGACCGCCTTTACTTTCCACGACTTTAGTTGGTATATAGTCAAAGCTGGGTCAACCTTGGAACCAAGGTCATTTTTTAAGGGGAAAAAGCCCGGCTCCGTCAGAACCCGAACCCACGACATTCCGATCCGCAAGCAAGCGTCTAGCCGCTACACCACCGTGGCTTCCTGTTGCCAAGTGGTGGAAGACACAATAGATTTAACAAACCAATCATTAAGGAGTCAGTTCTTTGCCTATGGAGCTAGGTTTGGGGAAGAAGAAAGGGGAGAGGGAGCAGATATGGTTTAAGAAAACCAGGAATCGCACTAAGCCGTATATGCTACTTTATTGTGGTTCTGGTAAAGAAGTGCTTGCTTATGAAGGTGTGAACGTAATAAAAGCTTTAACCGCTGTGTTCCTAGAATTATCCAAATCTACGACTCCATTAGAAGAGAGTGGGTTCAGTTATAACATTTTATGTACTCAGTGGAATTTTAACTGTTAGCATACATTTTCTGTTCTCAGAGTACTTTAAACTCTCTCAGCCATCAGCGTTTTGTAAAACTACATCTGACTTGCTGTTTATTTATTGTATGAAAAAGAAAACATTGTTCAAAATTTTCTAGTATTTCTGCCTTTAAATGTTTCAACTTGCAACTATATTTTCATATATCATGTTGTCGTTTCAGATTTGTACGGAATCTGTTAGCAGACTTTACAGTTGACATCAACACCACTCGAGTGTCTGTGATCACTTTCTCCTCCCCGCATAAGATATTTCGGCACATAGATTACCTCACTCACCCTGTCAGTGACAACCACAAGTGCAGACTGTTAAATGAGGACATCCAACATGTGGATTACACACCTGGAGGAACACATACTCTGGGTGCCTTTCTGGAGGCTGAGGTGTGTGTGGTATCATTTGATATAGTGAGGTCTCTCTGGCAATGTCCATTTGCCTACAGCTCTGACAATCTTCGGTTTGTTTCATGGACTGCATTATCCAGTTAATGATTTTATTGTTTATGGAGATATCTACTGATTGTCACTGGAGCTAGAGTTTGTACCATGTTTAAGACTCTTAGAAGGCAGTCTGAGCCATGTTTTAAAAAAAATACAGTGCATTGAAGTTGATCCCCTAAATTTTATATCCCCTTATAGAATACTGATTTTTAGTTTTTTTTTAACTCTTTCCTTTAGGAAAAGGGGAAAAAAAAAAGGGGGGGGGGGCGGTGAAAAATGAAAACTGTTACTGATATACAGTAAAACCTCATTGACAGCAAATTCCAAAGACTACAAAATTCAAGAAGCTGTGTTTAAAAAAAATATGTGCTTATGAGGGATTCAAATTAATACATCCATGATGGGACCACAGTTTCATTCATGTTAACTCTCAGGACACTTTGCCATTTAGGTTAAGGAAGAATCAGTCATCTTTAGACACATCATAGGAAGGTTTTAGCTTTGTCATGTTGCAGTAAACAAACAAAAAAACAGTTCAGTTCAAAATTAATTCTTTCTAAACTGCAGAAGAAAATGTTATCTGGAAAGAATTAAGTGAGTTTGTGTTTACGAGGTAGTTACATTTTTTTAATAAATAATAAATAGCTTAAACTCATTTACTACCAGAAATCTGGCCATAAATTTGTTGATAACACTGAATGGCTTAAGTTTTTAACAACTTTCACCTGAGTTTCCTTTTTGATTAATGGACATTGTTCCTTTAATTACTTTGATTTCTTCTGTTAAACTACTTTTTCCTGTTATTATATTGCTTTATTCTGTAACAATAACCTATTTCGATCCTTTTATTATTATGATTTCTTTTGTTACATTAAACTACTTTAGTCCTTTTGTTACCTCTGCTTATTCTGTTACAGTGAACTACTTTAGTCTCTGGATATAAATTATGCAATGTATTATTTGTGACCACGTTATTTAAATTTAGTGAAGCCAATATTAATTAAAGCTGGACAAAAACTTGTTGAGCAACTGGTGATTTGCGGATATCAGTATTTATTTTATTCGAATCTTTTGTCCTTTTTAGGACAACATTATTTGTTATTTGAAGCCCCACCCTGGCTTTTTCCAGGGGCCGCAATATAGGCAGGCCATAAATATGGCCAATTGTCTGAACATGGTTTCTGGGACCTCTCCACGACGATCCTCATCCACATGGTGGCACTTTGTGTCATCGGGTGTTTATAGCTTGTGTGATGTCCTGGTGGGGTAGAAAGTCAGTCATTTGCGGATATTCAAATCTGTAACTCACACACACAGGTGCCATCTATTCCTCTCAAAACACATAAATGGTTTGAAGCAATTGATTCCATTTGTTACAGACATTTAAAAAAAGATTAAAATTAATCTGAGCTTGAAAAAATGCCAACCACACATCACAAACAGTGATGAAAAAGGTTATAGTCCTTTGTATGTTGTAATATTGCAGGATATAACAAATATGTGTAGCATTTATATTTTCCTGATCTTTCATATTTTCAGAAAGTTCTAAAATCAGCCAGACCTGATGCTGCCAAAGCCATTTTTCTTATGACTGATGGATATTCAAATGGTGGTGATCCAAGGCCAGTAGCCAGTAAGTTAAAGAGGCAAGGAGTGAAAATTTTCACATTTGGAATTCGAGATGGCTTTGTGTGGGAGCTGGAAGACATGGCATCTGAACCCAAGAATGAAACATGCTACATTCTGGATAGCTTTGAGGAGTTTGAAGCTTTGGCAAAGAGGGCACTTCATACTGGTAAGTTTTTGTGCTTTTAGGAGTCATATGAATTAGCAGATCTTTATTAAACACGTAAGCTTTTCTTGGTAAATGGTTTCCGTTTATGTATTGTTTTTATGACAGTTTTAATTCTGCATCAGGTATCTGTTGTTACTGGTTAGTAAGTTGGTTTTAGTCACGTTACATTCAATTCTAGTAAGGCTACATTTGATTTTAGTAAGGTTACATTTGATTTTAGTTAGGTTATATTTGATTTTCTTAGGGTTAAATTTGATTCTAGACGAGTTACATTTGATTATAGAAAGGTTACATTTGAATCTAGCAAGGGTACATGTGAGTCTGTTTAGCTGGCGGGTCAGTTCTCTCTTAATGTTGTCTTGTGGATCTTTCTGAGTCACCTGGAGGACTGACATGCAGTCACAAAGGGAAACAATTTTGCTGTTTTTAATTTTTTTTTTTAAAACTTGTAAGTCAGCAAATGCCTTTGGTACCTCAGACATATGGTGCTGCACTCATTTTTATTGACCAACCAGCATTCAATAGGTGAAGTGGTCAACATCGTATCTGCCACATTTACCTCCCTAGACAATTACTGGTATCCAATTTAGACTTTGCTGACTTTTGAACCCAGGCAAGTGTGTAAAAATCGACATTGATGCAGATTAGAACCTTAGACCTTTCCGCTGGCAGGCAAACATCTGATCACTACATGCTGGTCCACCTCAGCTCATGTTTTGAGCAGGATGAGTTAATTATGCCAAAGATTTTCACATGATAAGGGGCATCCCCCCAAAAAAATAAGTATGGCTCTATTGTCTTGTTTGTGATAAATAGGTCTTTGTGTTCTGGCTTTTTTTATTACCTCATTTTGGCTGTCCAAAATCTTTTCCAGCATGTTTCTGTAAACTACATTATTTGGCATCAAACGATTTGTATAGCTTGTTTGAACTGATAATTACAGTTGTCTATATCTGACATTAACAACCTTTGTTATTGAAGAAACTGTTATATCAATTCTGGAGCATTGTGTGTATTTTCTTGGCATAGCGTTCATGTTTTATTCACAGTGGCTATGAAAATCTGCATGTAGTCATGAACATATATTGACTTATGTTTCAGACTTACAGAGTGGATCCTATGTTGAGCAGAGTTCAGCCAAATGTAATGAGCTGTGCACCAAGGAGAGCTTATGCTGTCATGAGAATGCAATTTGTTCCTGTGGCACATACACTGGGAAATACGAGTGCCTCTGTAAGCCAGGGTATTATGGAACTGGTCGAGGAAAAACTGGGTGCAAGCGTAAGTATATTTTACACTCCTGCATTCTTTCATAACACAGCTCAAACAAGCAGGTACTGCCTGCACAGTGAGGTTTGTCTGTGGTGAATCAGGAACTGGTCGAGGAAAAACTGGGTGCAAGCGTAAGTATATTTTACACTCCTGCATACTTTCATAAAACTGCTCAAACAAGCAGGTACTGCCTGCACAGTGAGGTTTGTCTGTGGTGAATCAGGAACTGGTCAAGGAGGAACTGAGTGCAAGCGTAAGTATTTTACACTCCTGCATACTTTCATTACACTGCACAGATTGTGACCGGTACCATCAGTATTGGAACTCTGCGCTGGCTGCTAAAGATGAGGACAGAGCATGCATAGGAATGCCTCTAGTGCTGTGATGTCAGTTCTTGACTTAACTTAACTCATCTCATTACACTGCTCAAACAAGCAGGTACCGCCTGCACAGTAAAGTTTGTCTGCAGTGAATCTACGACATTATCTGTTTCTGGTTTTGGTTATGCTAACACTCTTAAACTTCTGTTTGTCTCTTGCTTTATGTTTTCCTTCCACGTGTATTGCTGTCTACCTCTTGCTGTCTTGCCTTTGACTTTTCCTCTCAGTAAGATTTTTAAAAGATTGCTATGTCTTTTAATGTAGCAGAAATATTTAACTTGTCTGTCTCATTGTTTACTTCTTTTGTCAACTCCTCTCTTTCATTTTCAGACTTACCAGAACCTTTGTATTGAATAGTTTTTGTTTTCTTGAAATACAACCTATTGTTAGTTATATTCACGTCTCCAGAAACTCACTTTGATCTTCCAACTGCTTGTGCATGTTCAGTTGTCTCTGCACCATATAGTATACTGGAATATATATACCATTTGATGAATTCTAAATGTTATTGCATTGTTTACTTTCTAGATGTAAACAGTGTGCACTTCTTGATTTAGGTATATTTTTTGCCATTCCTATTCTATTTTTTTTAAATTTATATTGAATTTATGTCATCATCTGTTATTAGTTCTTGCATACACCAAGTGGCTCTTAGTGGTTGCTGTGGTTTTCTGTTAAAAACACATTCTGAGTTTACTTTCATATTTTTATGTTGACCAATCAGCATTTGATGGATGATGTGGTCAATGACTTTAGGCTGTATAAATCTGGGAGCTAAATGTCAAGGGAAATTCAAACACATGACCATATTCCCAGGAGAATATTCTGCTAGCCACTGTGCCACTAAGACCCAGAGCTGTTCTGTAACACTTTGCTAACATTATTTGCCGTTCTGTGACTAACCTGTGCATTGAGCTTGGTCTCTGTTAGTGTTATACTTAATGTGATTGTAAGGTCACCACAGTACCTGAAGTAAAGAAATCTTTTTCTTTCTCTTCATTCTCCTTCATTCATCCTTCTCCTGCATTCATCCTTTTTCATCCAGTCATCCTCCTAACTTTTCCTACTCCTTTTTTTTTTGCACTCATACATCTCAGATTTACGTCCTTAATTAATTCATCTTCTTCGTCTTTGGCATCGGCCATGTTAAATTGTAAATCTTGTTTGAGTCACAAAGAGGATGGTGATGAAACAAGTCACTTCCTGGTTTGTGCCACATTATTTATTTGATGACTGACCAAACATATGTTGTGTATGCAAAATATGTTGTTTAGCTTCAATTGTTTCCACATCAGTTTTGAATGATGAATAAAAAAACTGATACCTTTAAGTAAATGTAAATGTGTGGATCTGCTCCAGCTTGTCATCCTGGCACATACAAGAACTTCACTGGCCTCGGAGATTCAAATATTTGCGCATCATGTCCAGATGAACATCAGACTACCCCAGCTGCTGCAATATCTGTTCAACAGTGTGTCTGCAAGAGAGGCTACCGTAGCTTTGGCAATAAGGAGTGTACAGGTAAGTTCTTGTACAGCATTTATCTTGGTGTTTGTGTTGTTGTGTAATATGGGATAATATGGTGGAGTCACCTAATTTGTTTTCAATATACAGTGAATATATAATGAGATCTTTAATTGGTATGCCTGGAATTGTGGTTGGTGGGCACAATATAAACAATTTAGGTTATACTGATGACACAGTCTTGATAGCAACAAGTGAGAAAGAACTACAGGAAATTATAGACATTGTGGTGTTAGAAAGTGGAAGAATGGGCCTCAGTTTGAATAATGGGAAGACAGAAGTAATGGTGGTATCAAAGAAACAAATTATTCCTAAGTGTGTAATAAAAGTTGATGGTGTTATTTTAGGACAAGTACAGAAATTTAAGTATCTGGGCACATGGATAACATCAGATGGAAGATGCATGAGATAATAAACAGAATAGGACAGGCAAAAACTGCATTTTATAAAATAAAAAACATCTTGTGCATATATCCTTGTCATTGAGAGTTAGAAAAATAATTCTTGCTTGCTTCATACATCCAGTTTTAACATATGGCAGTGAATCCTGGACAATCGGTAGGCAGGCCAAACAATTTCTAGACGCCTCAGAGATGTGGTTTTACAAAAGAATGCTTAGAATACCTTGGACAGCCAAAAAGAGCAACCAAGAGGTTTTGAATGAGGCGGGAGCCCAAAGACAACTTATCACAGACATCAGAAGGAGACAGTCATCATTTTTCGGCCATGTTATGAGAAGAGGGAAAATAGAACATGTTGTGACCACTGGAAAGATCTGTGGAAGGAGAGATAGAGGAAGACAACGAGAGAAGATGCTTGACAGTTGTTTCATAACATGGAGGTGTGTCGGCACACGAACTGATACATGATGCAGGATATCGCAGATTATGGAGAGGCATGATCGCCCACGCCAGTCTGCAAGGCACCTGATGATGATGATGGTGATGGTGAAGTAGATAATATGGCAACTAGAAATAAAGGAATGGCTGCCTGAGGTATAGTGGTACACCTGAGCAAGTAACAGTTTTAGTAGTATGTAGTACTACTGCAACAGGGAGTTGATATTTGATGTACTTACTTTGTGTGTATATTAATGCACCTAGATGTGTATATGTGTGGGTGTTTGATTGTGTGTGTGTGTGCTTGTGTGTTTTTTAATCAAGCGCCTTCCACATGTGGGTCCCATGACCCAGCTAGGGGTGGGTGGTGGGGTGGGGGGAGGGGAAGATGGGGAGATGAACCCACTGCTCCCCCTATCAAGCAAGTCATTACAACTAATTTATGGTTTGAGTAAATCAAATGTGTTGGGTCACAATGGGGAGTTAATAACTATCTAACTGGTAAACACAACACAGTGTGTCTGTCATCTGCCCTTTTAAAGGCAAACACACTAGACAAAGACAAAGAAAAAAAAAAGGAAGAAGAAGAAGAAGAAGAACAATATCAAAAACAAGAGAAAGATGAAGCAACAGCAGCAGCAGCAATTTACAAATTAGTGTTGGAATTATACTTTGTAATATCTGACAATGTCAGCAGAATGCTTCATTTCTTGTGTTGACAAATGTTGAATAGTCTTCAAGGATCTTCTCTCACTGCTTTCCTTTATCTCTTTCCAGAAAGCTTTACAATGGTTGCAACATGTTCTGGTTTTTCCTCTTGTACTTTAGGCAGAGAATAAATGTATCTTGGTAAATTAAAAAATATTTAGAACTCACAAGTTTTCATCATTTTTATGTCCTATTCTGTAGTTTATAATATTGTTGAGTGTTGAATGAAGAATCAACATCATAGCACTCGGGACACTCCCATAAGCACTCCATCCCTGTCTTCAGCAGCAGGCATTGAGTTCCAATTCCGGTGGCTCCAGTAATAGTTTCGTCTTTCCCTTGAGTGTTGAGTTTCGGCCAGATCCCCTGGTAACTCCTCGCAGCGCATTCTCCTCAAACCATAATGATCTAGGCTATATGTGTCTTCGCACTTTTATCTATATCTTTGATACATCTTTCATCTAGTATCCATGACTTAAGATACTTGAAGTCACTTACCTCAAATTAAAATCATTGATGTTAATCGTACAATGTTGAATCAGATTTCTTTGAATTTGCTGCTTCTTTTATTTTCCTAAAATTCAAGTTGAGGGTGTTTCTGTCACTTTCTTTAATTACTGTATCTGTTACATTCTGTAGCTTTCTGACCTGTTGCTGTTGAGCTGATCTCGTTAGCTAGATGAAGGTTGTTTACATTCTGACAAACAGCCACAATCCTTGATGCATTTTATAAAGATGAAATTAAATGACAGTCATCATGTGTCATGCTGATAAGTATAGGCTGCTATGTTTAACCATCTTAATTGATCACCAGAATCGTAGATCAAGTCAGTTTTCTTGTCTCACACCATTCATATGGCTAAGTGCTTCAGGTATTTATCCATTTGTCTTCCTTTTGTTCTTTTCCCATCAATCAGTTTTCGCCAGATTCTCAAATTATGGGCTCATTGTATAATTTAAAATTTTAAAAATCCTGCTCTGCTGTGGATTGAACTTACATCACTATCTTGACAGAAAAAGGTTTGACCGTCAAACATTTAGAGGATAGACTTCATTACAACCAGTTTTATCCCATACAGTTCCGCTCTATCCCCAAAAGAGCCAGGACCACAAAACACAAACTCAGAACCTCCGGTTGTGATCCTCTGGGATCTCTGTAAAAGTTACACTCATGAACTAAATGTCATAGAAGTATTAATGCATTACAACAGGGATATCATAAAAGAACCACCAGATTAACAGATAGGCACATTTTGTAAGGAAGAAATTAGAACAATAGGAGTGAACCAGATCAAACAGTTAATTAATGACAGCATTAAGCTGCAAATGGTTTACCATTTGACTACAGTTCCCTAAAACAGCTACCACAGAGAGCTACTTTAAAGAAATATGAGCATAGAACATAAGAATCATGCAAAACATGGATCACTGGCATCATGAACAACCTTAGAGAAATGAAGAATAATATACAACACAGAGCACACAGAAGATACTTGCAGACTTCAATGACTTAACTGAAAGAAGAAAGGAAGAAGAACATGTAATGAATGTTATGCTATTCTAAATCATTTTTTTTAAAATCTCATTTAAAAAACAAAAGTCATGTGTATAGCAAAAGAACATCAAACAATTGACATAAAGATAAAAGATTAAAGTTTAGACAAAGTTCAGCACTTTAAATACTTGGGAAGCATCTTTACATATGATCACAGATTAGACAGGGGGATTTAAACGAGCATCCAACAAGCCAACAATATCACGTATAACTGACCACAATTTTCAAACACCTGGCTATCCCAACAGTCTTCCTACTAACATCGAGTTGTCAATGTCAGACTTGGGTGCTGACTAAAGAAAACTGACCACCTGTGAAATGAGATGTTTGAAAAAGGACCTGAGCAAAACTAGAAAGAATCATGTGAGAAACAAAAAAAATTATACAACTATTGAAACGACACCTATAATTAAATTTATGGAAAACAAAGACTGAAATTATTCTTCCACTTAATGAGGAGGAAGCCAGTGATGCCAGCAACAAGAGCTTACAACATGAAAGTAGAAACAACAAGAGGTATGGGACAACCAAGAAGAAGATAATGCAAAGGAGTCGCTGATACTCCACAACATCACAGCATACTTGGCCACCGAGTGTGGAATAGCTCGAATACCTATCATATGTTAACCTGCAATGCCTGCCAGGTTGGCTGACAGGTTGGCTGGATCCGCTATCACTACCGACGGTCAGCCTATGGATCATGCTGATATTATCAATGCCCTCAGAGAAATGGGAAGGATAGAGGATTTTGGTGGCAGTGAATCCACATCACTCACCAGAATAGCAGACTTGGGAATTAAGATCGGCGCAGCAAAAAACGAGACGCACACCAGACACGTCAGAAGACTTGTTAACATAGAACTGGTACTATTAGCCATCGGACGTTGGGGTTCATACTGAGGGGAGGATCTGAGCACCTATGGACATGTCCGGAGTGCAATGATGATAACCCAACTAACTAACTAACTAACTAACTAATGCCTACCAGTACAAAGCAGAATATGGGCAAAAGAAAAAATAAATAATTCTTATGAATTCTTATTTCAGTGTTCCGGTGTCCAGAGTTGTCCCCACCCAAGCATGGCTACTTTGTCAACAATGTCTGCAACAATGTATTTAATGCTGCCTGTGGGCTACGGTGCCAGCATGGGTATGAACTTCGTGGCAGCAGCCTGCGCATTTGTCAGGATGATGGCACTTGGTCAGGCCAGGATGCCGAGTGTATCAGTAAGCACTGTTGTTGGTAGATGTAAAGCTTGACTGTACTTGATTTCCTAAGATACTTAGTTTATCTTTAAAATGCTTCAACAAGACATAATGTGTGTTGTTTTATGCATACAGACATTAGTTAATCACACATGGTACGTTAAAATGGACGATAGACAGCGGCGCTGTTCGGAGCGGAGGCAAATTTTTTGCTTCTGCCGGACGGTGGCCGAAGTATTTTTGCTCCATTTGTAGACTGGATATAGTTTCGTCGCCCAGCTTCTGAGTTGAATGCATGGCGTGACCCTGTGAGCTGCGGATTGCATTTGGAATGTTTTTTTCGACTGTGACCAACGTGGTGTGAATTGTAGATTCAGGAAATGGTGCGATGCCGGTCGTGCAATGCTGGCGGGACCCGTATTAAAATTGATCGCCCGGGCAACTGCTGATCTGTTGGCGACAAGTTCTGCTATCATCAATGATGAACTACATTTCTAATGTTGGACTGTTTGTGTTAGCACTTCGGATGGCTACCATATGCGTTAATGCGAGTGTATGCTAGATATGCTGAGACAGCAGTCTGTCAATCTTTCCAAAAGGGACTGTGATAAACATTCTGGGTGTTTTTCGCTGGCACAGGAGCGGAGCAAAGATGGGGCGACCCGTTTGCTATGAAGCTGAAACTAAGACTACCAGACATACCAGACACATGGTACATTCCACTGAACATAAAGCAAAAATTGTAATGTTTAGAGAGAAACCGCACATCATTCTTTAGTTCTTCTTCACTTATTCTTGTTTGTGTGTGTAATTACTTCACATGGCTAAATCTTCTCCTCGTCAGTTTCATCAAGTTAAATAGAAATTCTAAGACTTTAGTCTGCATCAGTTTTATCACTAAATATTACACAGTTTGTGTTATTTTATTTGAAGCATATGCCTTAAGTACTAAATTTTTGTATTAATTTCACAGTGAAAACCTGTCCATCTCTGCCTGTGCCAAAGAATGGTCACATGATATGTTCAAGTGATGATTTCTCATATTCTTCTGTGTGCCGTTTCACTTGCAATGCTGGATATCAGCTTGTGGGTTCCAGGAAAAGGAACTGTTTGGCTATAGCTTATTGGACAGGAATTGCAACCCGTTGTAGGGGTAAGTGCAGCTGTATAACAGTCTGTTAAATGTGTGGTTGCTTCTTCACTTTTCAGATGTGTTTATTGTTTGATTACAGTGGTTAGCTTTCCAGGATTGTCCTCCCTCCATTTGCCCCCTCTGGGCTGCTGCATGAAGGTTTGACCAGCCTAAGATTACAGAATATCAATATGAATGGCAAATCCCACAGTTATATTTGAGGCTTTAAGAATGCCTACACCAGCTTAGTGTAATCTGCAGTCTGTGTTGGTTACAATTATGGTTATCGAGAAAGTGGCCAAACTCTATTTCCCTGGAGGGGAGGATTATTTTTTTTCTGGGTTCAGCCAAGCATTAAAAAAATGGCAAAATAATTTTTCAGAATCCTGAGGAAATTGTCTGGAAAGAAAGGACGCAAGGATGGCTGCTGGTCATTGAACTTAATTATGACATAAACTAGTCTATATTTTCCTTCCATTATTTGCCACACTTTACTGTGCTATTTCCCTTTGAAAAAATTCTTTTTTTTCTGTACCCCTCAATGATATTCTACACACACACACACACAAATAACACAAACAGCAACAGCAACAACAAACAAAACAAAACAAATACCCCATTTAGGACAAGTGAATGAAGTTCAACCCCACCAGGACCGTACAACGAGTGATAAGCACCCAGTGACACAAAGTGCCACCATTCAGATGAGAATCACCCGAGCATGAGTCCTAGAAACTGTTCAGTCTTTAGGTTATATAAGGGTCCCCCACAACAGCCAGAGTGGGGCTTTAAAATAAAGAAAAATTGCGTCCCATTTTGGGACGGCAACGATAAGTTCGGTTCTAGGACAAGAAGAAGGCCAGGAAAGACAAATGTGGTAGATTCTGTCAAAAGTAGTCTACACAAATTCTGTCAGATTTATTATCCTATACTAGTTTTCTGTCAGAGTTGCGTAATGTTCCTCGCTCATGTCTTAGGTTGTTGTCTATGGGTGTGCTCTAACAGATGGCATAAACAACAATGTATGTTGACACCGATGTTATAAGTAAAGAGACATCTGCATGATAACGATGTTTATTGACAATAATTTACTCACAAATATGTCCAGTTCTTGTCCCTAATCCATCACCAAGTCCAACATTAAACCTCACCCGTATTCAGACGTCAACAGAATATTCACGAACAAGCACTCGGTAGTTTTCCATCTTCCACGCCACATCTCCCGACAGGTAACTGCGGTTGTTTCCCTCCTGGTTTCACTCCACTGACTCTGTGTAGCTGCTGATTACCTGTTTAGCTGGTTCATTGCTGAAGATAATATTCGAGCTGTTGTCTTTAAGTATTCTCTTTCGTCGTCAGGTATTCTTTACATTCATACCGAATCATAAAACACGTCCTCTCACTCCGACTGGCAAACACATACTGTCTAATCAGAACGTGGTCTGATATTACAGCCAGGTGTTGGGCTCCTCGTGGCAACACATGGTTGTCTCCCTTCCTTGAGAACCTAGTTTTCTTTGAGTGTTTGACTTCTCTCGGTTTTCTGTCATACCTCGAGTTTTCCCCCTACCTTCTTTATCAAGGAATCCCCTTGTGAAAATATTCCACATTACAGGTGATATCTATGCAAGTCTTATATCAGAGGTACTATTATGTACATGTCGTTTGACAAAGGTATTACTCCTTTTAACTCTTTCTATTCAACCAACATACAGTGTATAATCAGCTATAATCAGTTTGTATCAAACAACGAAGGGTGTGTAATTACGTATTTTACATTTGGTTTGAGCATGCTTAAGAAATCTGGCTAGATACACTAACATACAGTACAGTATATTTTGTCTCTTTGGAAGTAATGCACTCATGCTTTTTTTATTATGTCTGTTAGCTCTTTAAGTATTTAAAACATAATCTTCTGGTACTCAAAGAGTTTTCTACCAAAAGAATTATTGTACACAAGTTTTCTGCCAACTTCATTCTCTATAAGTCTTCCATCAAAGGTGTTATTCTAAACAGTCTTGTCAGTGTGGTAATTCTGCATTAGAGTTAGCTCAGTCTGACATTAAATGATCAGCAAAAAGACCAACATAAACAAGCTAAAATAGTACTCGTATTTCTGGGCATTGCCAGTACAAATCTCTCATTTTTAATGTTATTACAGTCGTTTTTATTTTTTAACGGAAAGCCTTGAAAGTGAGATGTTGACTAACATGCCACTTGCTGCTCCAGTAATCATAGTTTGTAATACACATAGAGGCAGAATTTTATTTTTAAAATGTTTTTTGTTCCTGAGTTTACACTTTGACCTACCTGTAAACTGGGTACCAGGAAATACACTAGGAAATAAAGATTGCTGGCATGGTATTGACCTCATCACCCACCAACTGCTTTTTGGCTATACAAATATAAGGCCAGCAATCTATGACCGATAAGCTACAAAGAATGGAATTAGAACATGTGCTGTTTTGTTTTTATAATAAGAAACTAGTTTTTCACTCACACCAAGAGTATCTTGCTGACAACTAAATGAACACGCCTAGCTAGATGCTGAACTGCTGGTCCTAAGGGCAGAAAGACTGGCAAGTTCTGCACCACGGGGTGGTGAACTGATCTATGACATCCTAGATATTGTAAAGGTCCTTTAAGAGAGAGTGAACAGCGAGTGAACAGTGCAGAGTTAAAAATAGATCATTACAGTCTGATGAGAATGGCACTGCATGAGTTACTGTGAGTTACTAGCCGACGCTCAACACTCAAGGGAGGGGGAAGATGGATATAAAATCAAAGAGTTACTGGTACCATCAGAATTTGAACTCTTCACTTGCTGCTGAAGATGGGGACAATCAGTAGACTATGTTGGAAGTTCTCAGAGTGTTTAGTTAATGAAATAGATAATGTCCTGTTTCTTGTCTAGAGTTATTATATTATTAGTAACTGGATTAGGAGCCAAAGTAGCACAGTAGCTAGATGCTTGACATCTGGCATGAGGGTCTGGGATTCAGATCTGCATTCATGTTGAAATTTGTTCAAAACACACATTGGCTCCCTGGTTAACTCAACTTCACATAGGCACCAGGTAATTTCCTATGAAGTAATTGTGGCCGGCATGATGTTGACCATATCACCCACGAAGTGCTGATTGGACTAGACATATCTGAGTCAAGCATCATATGCTTGATGCACAATTGGCTTAAAGGGGTCCTTCGCTTACTTTTACTAATTGCAGATTATTTTCACATCTGGCATGAAGTGTTCTTCTGATTTTCAGCTGGCAGATGAGAATTTTGTAAACAATTTTCTTTCATCATTACTCATTTTAAAATTCTAGAGATCACATGCCCACCATTGGTTGATATAAAGGATGGGACAATCACACCTGCCTCATGTACTACAAGAGAGGTTGTGTTTGGCAGCACTTGCCAGATCTCTTGTTCCTCTGGCTACGTGTTGAAAGGTCCACATACAAAGCAGTGTACGCCTGATGGCACTTGGATGTCTGCTGGAGAGGGCATCAATCAGTGTGTAGGTGTGTATCCCTTTTATATTTTTTCTGATAACTTATATAAATTCATATAGAGAGAATGTCAGATCACAGAGAGACTAAATCTGTGCACACACAAATGATCTGTATGGAACTGAACCGCAAGGCAAAACAAAAAAAGAAAGCAGACCTACAAACACTTGGAGCCACCAGCTTGACTGAGAAGGCATCACAGAAATGAATGGAGGGGGGAGATATCTCCAGCAGTGAATTTCAGTGGCTCAGAATATAAGGAAGTGAAGAGGACCAGTTTAACTACTTTCAGAACATAGACACTGAAACTTGGCTCAGGTCACTTCATTTTTTTCTGGGGGGTGGCGGAAAGGGGGAGTGAGTGGGGGGGGTGTTGAGCCCACTTAATAATTAGGTCACGTTCTTTCTTAGAGGCATCTTTTTTAAATAAAATTCCTGCAACTTCACGTGACTCATAAGACATACCAGCCCACTTTAATTATACAGTCATCCATATCCTATCTTAAAATAATAGTAACCAGTGCTTCATGTATGTGTTACCAAGAAGAAATAATTTGTTGACTAGCAGTAAGCTCAGAAATAACGTGTTGACTAGCAGTAAGCTCAGAAATAACGTGTTGACTAGCAGTAAGCTCAGAAATAACGTCTGGTGGTTGTGGGGAATACAGAACACTGTTCACATAGGCAACACATTTTATTGTAGTGGTTGTGTTCCCGCCCACCAAATAATTTTGTAAGAACAATAAGAGACCCCTGTAATCATGTACAGAAATTTGCTTTGAACATAATTAATTATACATTTCATACTTTTTCACTTTCTTTAAAAGAAATTGCCCATACATTTCATTGTTTTTAAGTATATTATTATATTTACTTGGCATTCAGCAAAATAATAATAATAATAACATAATAAACATATTGTGCTGAATGGCAAAAAAAAATAATAGTGATATGATTGAAATAACAGTACATACTTTAAAAAGTACTTTCTTTACAAAATTATTGTGTAAAATTTTTGGATAGAATGGGTCACTAAAAATACCTGAGCATCAACACAATTATTTGTGTAGAGCATTTGTAATGGGGTGAGGAGGGCGTAATCCAGGGAACCCCTCAGTGTTTCTAACCTAACTGGTGATGGGGGAGGGGTTTGAGCTCCACCCAATTTTTGCCCAGTGGTGAGGAGTGCGTGGCTGATGTGCGACTGAGCCTCATCTCTCAAAACTTCCTTTAATTTTCTGTTTTCTGTGTGTGTGTGTGTGTGTGTGTGTGTGTGTGTGTGTGGGGGGAGGGGGGGGCATGGGCGTGGGGGTCGAGGCTTTACCAAATTTTTAACTAAATAATTTGGCGTTGTTTGAGGCCCTCTCTCCCCCAATGCTAACTTTATGGTGGCCCACCTGTTTGAGACTTATATAGAGAAAAAGAAAACTAATAGTCGGGAGTCGCCAAGGTGCAGTGGTTATGCTGCTTCTTTCATACTCTGGAGTTGGATTTTCAACTATGTTGTTGGATTTGGGAATGCAGGTGTTTTAGTGATCTGTGTGAGTGTTGCTAGAGCCACAGAGTTTAAGCTTTGTGAAGAACTTTAGAAGTGTCTAGTTCCTCACAGAGAGAATTACCCATTTGTACAACAGTACCCATCATTATCTACACAGATGGATCCGTGTAGCGCGGATCAAGGTCAGCATGAAAATGGGATAAACAATACAGGACAGCGGCGCTTACCACACAACCACGCCAAGCATGACCATGGAAATAGCCGCTGCTTCTAGAGCATTAGCATGGGTATCTGAGCAAACCACCACACAGGCAGCAACTGTATCAGACTCCATGAACATGCTCCAGAAGAAAGCAACAGGGAGTATGCGCTCTGAATGGGTAGAAAGCATTCGGCGTAAAGGGAAATGAGCAAATGGACCAACTGGCAAGCATTGCACTAAGGCATGTGGGAAGAAGCATGTACAGAGCAGACATCATCAACTCTGTACGGACTGGGCTAGGGGATAAGGAAGAGTCCCTGACACTAACATGACTGTGTGACATGGGAGTAAAGCATGGTGAAGCACGTCTATGCTGTCTTAGAGGGTGAGATCATCATCATCATCATGTAGCAGGTCCTTTGCAGAACGTCGCTCTCATCACAGTCTTCTTCTTCTTCTTCTTCTTCTTCACTTCCTCACCGAAACGTTCCCAGGATGCTTGTTTTGCTTTCTTGACACTCCTGTTGGTTTCTCTCCTTTGCAGTCTATAGTTTATATAATCTTCTTCTTTCTTTGATTTTATCCACTGTTTATATAAGTCTTTTTTCTTTTTAATTGCTTCTTTTACTTCCTCGCACCACCAAGGTGAATATTTGTTATTTCCCCGTCTGTTTCCACTCTTCCGTTTTCCACATAATTCTTCTGCAATACTAAGCATAGTGTTTTTTATATATACTCCATTCTTCCTCAATATTGCCAACTACATGTGGAAGTTGTTTGAATGCTGTCTCTACTTTCTGTTGTAACTGTTCTTTTACTCCTTCCTGTTTCAGATTTGCTATCTTGATGAGATCCTTGTTTTTGTTTAATTTCTTTCTGTGTTTCTTTAATGTAAGATGTTTTGCTGTTAACACAACTATTTTATGGTCAGTGTCACATAGACCATTAGGGATTGCTCTTGAATCAAGAATTCTCCTTCTTCCTTGAACTCTGGTAAGTATAAAGTCAATCTGGCTCTTGATGGAGATATCATTCCATCTGTACCAAGTGTAAAGTTGTGAATCTCTATGGTCAAAGAATGTGTTCGTAATAAAAAGATTGTGCTGGCTGCATAGATCCAATATTCTTTGACCATTTCCATTTCTAGCACTGTTCTTAGCTGCATATGGACCTAAAATTGTTCGTATTCTCTTCTGTTATTTCCTACCCTCCCGTTGAAGTCACCCATTACATATAGTATGCTGTTTCCCTCAACTTTCTTTATCTCATCAGACAGATCGTCAAAGAATTCATCTTTCTGCTCTTCTGTATAATTATCATTGCATGGTGCATATATCTGTATATATGTTTCAGCTTGTTCTCCTCTTTTAATTTTCAAAGTAATAATTCTATCTGAGTGATAATGTATGTCTAATATGTAGTTAGATATGTCTGGATGTACCAGGAAACCCACTCCATTCTTCGATGTTTCTCCTCCTGCATATGTTAGTAAGTAGCCTCTGTGTATTTTCTTATTAATATTTCCCTTGCGTCTTATGTCAGCTAGCCCCATTAACTTGATTTTCCTTTTTTCCATCATTTCAATAATCTCTTCTGTTTTATTTCCCAGGCCAGCGGTGTTAAGTGTTGCAATCTTGTATTTCGCTGTTCTGTCTCGTAGTCCCTTAACATTGCCATGGTCAGATACCGTTTGATCAGTCCGTTTATATCTCATTTTGATTTTTGCAGCGGTAAAAAAATCCATTGCCGGCTTGCTAGGCCTGTCGCAACTTCACCAGAGCCCCGTTGGCCAGGACGTTTCTGGGTGACCCAGGGTGGCCTTTATGGCTACCGTAGCTGTCCCGTGGCACGAGGCCACACCATACTTCGCCCACACCTAGCAATCCCCTACTTTGTCCTGTTACCACCTCTCACGACGAGGACGTGGGGTTGGTCTTTGAGAGGCATCACAGTCTGCCTGTAAGAAACTCGGTCTCTTGCCAGTTCTCCCGCCTCATGAACTTTCACACTCAAGGAGTCACTTATATCCTGTGCCCATCTTCGTGTCGGTCGGCCTCTGCCCCTCCTTTCTGGTACCATGCCTTCTGCTATAATTTTTTCCAATCCGTCGTGGCGCTTGATATGACCAAAATATAGAGGGTGAGATAGGAGACAATATAACCAACTTCTCATGGAAAAAATTAGTAGAAGTACTTTGGAGTGGCTGCTGCATCGGAGGACTGCACACACATGAGAATGCCCAATGTGCATTGAAGTCGATTGTGATAACATAACATAACCCATTTGCTAAACAGGCCATCGAGGAGGCAAAAGATGAATAGTAACACTGCAACCTATCATGCATGTAATAAGGACCAGCTAAAGAGGATTGATGGAAGACTGGTTTCCTTTTTTTATTTTATTTTTTGTACAGAATTGTAACTGCAAAATCCAGCTAGCCACAGATAAGTTTCCTAAAGACTTAGCATTAGGTGGTTGAGGACATGTTCTTTGTTGGAAGATGAAATACTGAAGACCATGAGCTCTGTATCCCATGTTGGTCCTTTACTTTTCACTGTCCTTTACTTTGTTTTGAGATACTAAGCACTTATGAGAAAGGGGCAGTGAAGAGAGACCTAAAACTGGCACAACTTGCATTCATTGGGCTTCTTTTTAGGAACCTATGAATGTTTGATGTGCTGATTGAGACTGAAAAAATTAAAATTGTTGCAGCTGCATGACAATGGTATTTTTACACAGGAAAGACATTGGTGCTTGAACTCTTGAACTAGACAGACATAATTTGTTTGGGTAAAATGACACATATATTATGTTATCATTCTAAGAATATGTGTATATGTATATATATATATATATATGTATGACATATATATATATATATATATATATATATATATATATATATATATATATATATATATATATATATATATATATATATATATATATATATATATATATATATATATATATATATATATATATATATATATATATATATATATATATATATATATATATATATATATATATATATATAACAAATATATGTATATATATATATATATATATATATATATATATATATATATATATATATATATATATATATATATATATATATATATATATATATATATATATATGACAAATATATGTAAATATATATATATATATATATATATATATATATAAATACACATACATCGTTTTAACATATGGCTGTGAGTCCTGGACAATCAGCACCTGATGATGATCATTATGTATATATATGTGTGTGTGCGTGTGCATGTGCGTGCATATGTGTGTGCGTGCATATTTGTGGGTGTGTGTGTGTGTGTAGCCTATATGTATATGCAGCTTGTTCCTTTTGTTTCCCTGAATACAGATGAAACACCACCAGTCTTAGACTGTCCTCGGAATGTGGAGGTAGTAGCCGATGAGTTCACAGATATGACAGAAGTGATTTGGACTGCTCCTGTGCCAGTTGACAACTCTGGGTTCCGACCTGTGCTGACCTCTGAGCCGGCTGTAACACCAGGGTCAAGGTTCCCTATCGGAACAACCTATGTCACATACAAAGCCGAAGACTTGAGTCAGAATGTTGCTAAATGCAGGTTTTTTATTCGTGTCATCGGTGAGTACATTTTGTCAGCATTTATCTACTCATAAAAAATGACATTATTTTTAACTCTTTCAGTACCCAGCAACTCACAGCACATTTACTGAATTTTTCTGACAAATGTTTTTTTCCCTCACCTTGTATCCTCTATAGCTAAAACTTTAACCTATTCTCTCTTACCTGCTAATTTAGTTCCTTTTGTCACATATTGTTATTATTAGAGTCTCTTCAAATCCAAACACTGAAAAACTATTTAACAAATGAAGGATGAAACACACTCAAAGAGTTTAAACACAACATTATCTTTCAAATGGTTGTAAGAAAGACAATATGTAATATTATCAAGTTATGCACACTGAACATTCCCATGCCTACTCTGTCCTCTGGAGCAGTAGCCATTCAAAGGTACTTCTTCTTCTTCTTCTTCTTCACTTCCTCTTTTACCGCTGTGGGTGTCGAGGGAGATATAAGGTTCTGTTTCTAGCTCTTCTGGCTGCCTCGACCATAGGCACATCGTGCTGTTGTAGAGTTTCTCTGATGTTATCCTTCCATCTTGTTCTTGGTCTACCCCGTGCTCTACGTCCTTCTTCTCTTTCCATGTATGCTTTGTATGGTATGGTGTCACAAGGCATTCTCTCTAAGTGGGCAAACCATTTCACTTGCTGTCTTTGTATGTAATCCAGAATTGGTTCTGTGCCGACTTGTTCTCTTATGATCTCATTCCTGATCTTATCTCTTATGGTCACTCCTACAGCCCTTCTCAGACATCTTATTTCCGTGGTTACTAATTTTCTTTTATGGTTTGTTGTGAGTGACCATGTCTGGCACTGGTAGCACAGAGTTGGAATAAATATGCTTTGAATAAGATGTCTCTTTGTGCTGATTGGGATTGTCTTATGCTGTAAGAGGGGGGCTAGCTGTCCCAATACTTGGTTTGCTTTACTGCATCTAATGTCAATTTCTTTATCCAATTTCCCATCTTCGGTAAATGTAGTTCCCAGATATTTAAACTCAGATGCCTGTTTAATGCCTTTGTATTCTATTGCTATGTTTAGATCTGTCTTCTTTTTTCCTATTGACATTACTTCTGTCTTCTCAGTGTTGATTCTCATATTATTTGTTTTACATTCTTCATTCATGGATGTTAGATGTTGTTGCAATTTCATGGCTGTATCTGCTATCAAGGCCTGGTCATCTGCAAAGAGTAATTCGTTGATCTTACTAAGATCTTCATTCATGGGCTTGGCATTCTTGCATATACTGCCGATGTAGGTGATAAACAGCAGTGGTGATAAGACACACCCCTGTCTTACTCCCGATGTCACTGTGACAGGATGAGATGTTCCCTGATTTATTCTAACTACATTTCTACAATCCCTGTATAAACTTTTGCACACTTCGATGAGGTGTTCGCTTACTCCATATCTTGCCATTATTTTCCATAATAATTGTCTGTCGACTCTGTCAAATGCCTTCTCCTTGTCTACGAAAGCCACAAATAAGTTCTTATTGTATTCAATGTTCTTTTCTATTAACTGTTTAAGTGTGAAGATTGCATCTGTGCAGCTTCTATTTCTCCTAAATCCCATCTGTTCTTCTGCCAGCTGTGGTTCTATCACTGGTCTCAGTCTTGTTTCTATTATCTTGGCATACATTTTGCCAACATGGCTTAAAAGAGAGATGCCTCGATATTGACCGCATTCTCGTTTGCTTCCTTTGTTCTTCCACAATGGTTTAACTATTGCATGTTGCCAATCAATAGGGGCCGTTTGTTGTACCCATGCTGCATTGAATATTCTGTGAAGCCATCTGATGCTGCTTTCACCTGCTGCTTGAATTATTTCTGTTGGTAATCTATCAGCTCCTGGTGCTTTAAATTTGGGAGACTGTTTAATGACTTTTTCTATTTCATCCATTAGTATGTGTGGTTCTAACACTGTTGCTCTGTGCTCTTCAGTTGTTCTTTCCTGATGATCTCCTAGAGGATTAAAGAGCTCATTGAAGTATTTCCTCCATCTTTCTGCTATCTCGGGTGGATCTATCAATGGTCTTCCTGTCTTGTCATTAATTATTTCAGTGGGGTTGTAGCTCTCATCTCTTTTCCGCATATTTTTAACCACTTTGAAAAATTTTCTGCTGGCTGTTTTCTCATTTTCTGCTAGTGACTCACCGAAACGTTCCCAGGATGCTTGTTTTGCTTTCTTGACACTCCTGTTGGTTTCTCTTCTTTGCAGTCTATAGTTTATATAATCTTCTTCTTTCTTCGATTTTATCCACTGTTTATATAAGTCTTTTTTCTTTTTAATTGCTTCTTTTACTTCTTCGCACCACCAAGGTGAATATTTGTTGTTTCCCCGTCTGTTTCCACTCTTCCGTTTTCCACATAATTCTTCTGCAATATTAAGCATAGTGTGCATAGTCCAAGGTACTATCAATGACTATTATCCATTGAGGTGTTAGTTATAGTATTTCTTTTTTTGACCTCAAGGACTGTGCAAGTTGACTTTGTTGAAGCCTTACTCCTAGGTCATGGGCATTGTCAGTATTCACCAGCCAAGACCATACTGCATTGATCATATTGACAGTATTCCTTCTTCTTCTTCTTTCGTTCACCTGAAATAAGTTGTCTATATCAGCAGTTTTGTCTCTTGTATAAATTTCACTGTTGTTGTTAGTTCATTCAGTGGTCCATAGAGTTTACATTCCACTGTTGTTCTTTCTGGCCAAAAGGTTCTAATGGAGCAATGATGTGCAATATAAGACTTTTAATGTCTATTAGCCTCTCTTGCTCAAGCCTGCCTCACCTTCACGTGTTGGACCCTGTTCTTCCCAGCAATCCAGTTTAAGGTTCGGGTCTCAACCCCCAGCAGGAAACTGGATGAGACAACAAACGAGATAAAGGCGAAAGACGAATGGATGAGCCTATTCTCCTCGAGTATGATCACAGTCTACCCTAGCAAAACAAGCTGCTGAAGTCGGAGGCAACCAGCCAGGAGGTGCACCGCAGCTATCAAGATGCCACGCAAACGCTATAGAAATACAGTATTCCTGTTTCTTAATGTTTATATTGGGGCATTTTGCCAATTGGTTGGTTCATACAGTATTATCCTTTTTTGATACCCTGCAGGAAGTCTGAACTCACCTGCATGTACTCCATTGCACGGTTCACTTTGAGACAATGACTTGAATCATTACAGAAGTCAACTGTGCGTGGAGTCACCTTTATTTTTGATCCAGGATACGCAGGCGTCGATGGAAATGAAAGAGCTGACAAGTTGGCTGGATCCACTATCACTACCGATGATCAGCCTAAGGATCATGCTGATATTATTAATGCCCTCAGAGAAATGGGAAGGATAGAGGACTTTGGGGGCAGTGAATCCACATCACTCGCCAGAATGGTAGACTTGGGAATTAAGATCGGCATAGCAAAAATTGAGACGCACACCAGACACACCAGAAGACTTGTTAATCAACATAGAACTGGTACTATTAGCCATCGGACGTTGGGGTTCATACTGAGGGGAGGATCTGAACACCTATGGATAGGTCCGGAGTGCAATGATGATAACCCAACTAACTAACTCACTAACCAACTAACTAACTATCCTTTTTTGAAAATGTTGAACAATATGATGGTTAGAAAGACGGAATAACACAATTAATATATTGTAGACTTAGAAAGGATTTACCATCAAATCTGTACAAAGTCACAAGATAAAAAAAAGAGCTAACATTACAAGTGATATTAAGACAAGGGAATTGGAAGAAGGTGCATTACAACACCATCCTAGAAAGTGCAGAGAGGGGGTGGGTAGAGTATCTGGAAGATATTCAACACTGACTAGGAAACAGAGGCAGACTTTTGATTAGGATGCAGCTGGTATCATTAGCATGTTGACTCTTCAGTGGCTACTGAAGAAGAGGAGGAAGCACATGTGGGAATGTCCAGAGTGGAGATATGTCAATTAATTGATCAATTAATTAATTAATTAATTAATTCAATGACTCTTTTTATACCTTTGTCTTTGTCACGTAAGGCACATAGTGTTGAACCTATTTTTTTTTTTTGACTCTTCGGCACCTAAAAGGTGATGAGGTCAACATCAGGATTACAAATTTATATTGTAATCAATTGTAGGTCAAAACTCAAGTGAAATAACCATATGATTGTTTATCTTTTCTCACAGATAAGACTCCACCAACAGTTGATAAGTGTGTCTCTCCGTCGCCAATAATATCCAAGAGAGAACACACCAAAGTGGTGCTGGAACCTCCACTCTTCTCAGACAACTCTGGCAAGCCTGTAGAGGTGGTTTCCTCACACTTGTCCGAGGAGTTATTTCCCTGGGGGACCACAGCCATAGTGTACAGAGCGTTTGATGCCTCAAACAACAACAGTACATGCACTATTGAGGTGGTGGTTGTTCGTAAGTGTCCACAAGTACTAAATGTGTGTTGCAAGTTTGCATTCTCTTGTGATAGCTGGTGCTTCTCACCTCCAGTTTTCTCTTCCTCAATGCTGCATGAGCCATTCCCCACATTCTTTCTTCTTCTCTTCGTCTTCCTCCTCCTCCTCCTCCTCTTTTGTTCTTCTTCGGCATTTGCCTTTAAACTGACCGTTGACACATTGTGTTTACAGATAGACTGTACTTTATGTTGTGTTTTTGTTTACATATAGACTGTACTTTCTGTGCCTTCTGGCTCAATTTCAGCAAGAGCTTACTTAGACATATTTTACTGCATGTTTGTTATGGGGCAGTGGGTCTATTCTTCTTTACCCAAAACAAGTAAAAAAAAAAAAAAAACTCCCCTCCCCCACATCCAAACAAAAAATAGACACAACTAGTTTTTCAGTAACTTTAAAAACAAATAACTGTAGCATACAACTATTTGTTAGTGTTTCAACCTCACTGCAGATGGATTGCTTCTTAACTGTTCTGTTTCTGTGCCAGTGTAAACCACACTGTTCCTTTTGAAAACTAATGAACACATATCAGTCCCAGCAAAATCTTGAAGCTGCACATGCAAAGTAAATGCAGGAGACAACCAATAGTGTGTCAATTCTAAAAGTCTTCTACAAGAGCTGCAGCTCATTGTTGATGCAGGCAGGCAGTCAATCAGGAAAGCAAGCATTGGCCTCCTCAATGTTGTTTGGAAAAAAACTAATTTTGGTCAGTTGCCAAATTAGCAGTAAAACTGTTATTTTATGCTGATTGCAATTATTGCAAGTATTATCATAATTCAAATGTCCCATGTGCTGTTAGTAATGAAAAAAATGAAATACACATTTTCAGTACCAATCTTGATAGTTTTAAGCAGGTAGGGGGGAAGAAGAGCATTATGGTCCCCATGGAGAGGAGTTGACAAGAAAGCTTGTTAAAAATCTGACTTATAAAGAATTCAGCAATTAACCAATGTAAGCGAGCCTTAGGTGCTGGAAAAGAGACTACGCATGTGTCACTGGGACTGCATAGACCAACACTGTAATAATATGTGCACAGTTTTTGTTTGCTCATCTATATGCGTTTCCACATACATTTGATAGTCTTATCTGCATCTTGTCCCCCCCCCCCCCCCACAGCTCATCTGTGTGTCATCCCACAATCTCCAGCCAATGGTAATGTGTCCTGTGTGGAGAGTGATGTCGGAATTTTGTGCCACATTCATTGCAACGATGGCTTTGCTTTTGCTTTACCCTCATCGGATGAGTATTTCTGTGACTATGAAGAAGGTCGTTGGATGCCAGAAAGTATGTTTCCATTCCCTGACTGTGCTGGTGAGTGCATTTACTTTTCTGGTGTCAGTTTACTAACTTTTCAGAAATAATAACCTAAATAGGAAAGACAGTACCTAGTAATTGTGTACATTTTTCTACATTCAAATTAGTGACAAATAAAAAAGAAAAAAATAACAATTAGTGTCTAGATCCATGTCTGGCAATCCACATGTGTTGCGTTCAATTCAGCATTGAGCCAAATTTATTTTTTTGGGATTGACCTATGTTCCCAGGTGGAAAATGTCTAAAATGTGTACCAGACATTGACCTGAATGGTAAATGTGGCCGGTGTGATGCTGACCACACAAACCACCAAGTACCGATTGGACTATACTAATCTTGTCTAGCATCATGTGCCTAATGCACCACTGATGTGAAAAGGGCTTTTTCTTCTTCTTCAGCGTTAAAAGCCCTTTCGGTTCATTGCTGCAGATACCATCTGCCTCTATTCATCTCTCTGGTTGGCCTTCTCTTTCCGGTGGGTGAAACCATGTATTGGTAGTCTGTCTGGATATTATCTCTCCATCGTCTTCTTGGTCTGACTCATGGTCTACTACCATTCAGCTCCCTTGTGTATACAGTTTTTTCCTCTCTGTCAGCTAACAATCTCTCGATATGCCCCAGCCATTTCAGTCTATTAGCTCTCTTGATGGCAGTGATCAGTGGTAATTTAAACAGATTATTAATTTTGTTGTTGCTTCTCACTCTCCATTCAAAGCATTAAGAATTGGGTAGACCAAGAACAAGAGGGAAAGATAACATCTGAGAAACTCCACAACAGCACAATGTGTCTGTGGTAAAGGCGGAAAAAAAAGCAAGAAGCAGAACTTTGTATCTTCTTTGATGCCTGAAGTAGTAAAATAGGAAGCAAAGAATTGAAAAACAATAAAAAGTTAAGATAGAATTAAAGAAATTTATTTGGGGGGGGGGGGGGGGGGGGGGGGGGGGGGGGGGGGGGGGGGGCAACAATTTTAAACTTTGTCAAAGCACTGGCATACTTTCTAAACTGTTTTTTATGCAGACCACTTAATTTTCATAATATTTCTGAAAGCCAGAGTCATTGTAATAGTTCCACACTGACAAGGAGTGAAACACATAACTACTGCATTAGCAAGCAAGTATGCTTACCACAGTGCCACTACAGATGCCAGTGATAAGTTATAACCACTGATTAATGTGTTGCTTGGTATGGGTTCAGTTAATATAAAGCAACAAATATTATCAAGAATACATCTTTTAAATGAATGAAATGCTAATTAATGTAACAAAGAGGGGTATATCATTAGGCCACTCATCCTAAACTGCTGCAGTCCCTGCATTTCCATCCATTACAAATTCCTCACAGGCAGTTGCACTCAGACTATAAGGTCCACCACCACCAGGTGCGTCCCACCAGCATTGTTGATTTGGCCAGTCCCTGACAGGCCATTGTTTATTTTGCACCTATGCTGTTTTCATGAGCTTGGATATGATAGTATTCACTTTTTTTTTTTAAATAAGCATTTAAGGGGTTCAATGATGAAAACACTTTTTTTTTTTAACCATAATAATAACGACATCATAATCCTCTTAGCTTTGAGTAATCAGAGTCACCAGGTCATGGTGTGAGTCACTCTATGTTTTGTTTTTTAAACAGTAGGGACTGTAATAATGTAACTCTCTCTACTCCATTTATGTTCAATGATAACTCCTCTTCCTATAATTCCTAAAAAGAATTGCTAATGTATATTTTTTTTTTGTGTGTATTGAAATCATTTAGTGTCTTTTACCTTTTTTTTAAAGGATTTTTCTAGGAATTCTCTGGTTCTGAGAATTTTTTTTCTCTACAAAGGAATCCTGGGGTGAAAGACATTAAAGAAATTCTCATTTTCTGCAGAGATGATAAGAAGGTATATTACTGACATGCTTGTTCCCCCCCCCCCCCCCCCCCATACTCATATAAACTTCCAATATCTGCTTGCAGTGGTTCAGATCTCCAATGACATCATCCAGCCTGCCACTATCACCCTCACTGGGGACAATCTTTGCAAGGACAAGCTGCTTCTCCAGCGCATACAACATGATTTGGAGGGAAGAGTGGAAGATAAAGTAAAAATACTATTGTTGTCATTATAATTATAATGAGTTTTTTTCTGTTGGGAGCAAAAATAAAATCCTAACTTGCACTGTTGGCGACGGCTGCACTTGCCATACACTTTAAATCCACAAGCTCAAAGAATCCCCGATGTACACTCCTAAACACTGCAAGATGTGAACACAACTAATGCTGTTAAAAAGGCATTGTCCAGGACAAAGGTGTGGCGGTGATGCACCAAGCAGTAATGGCAGTTTTTGGCATTATTATGTTAATGCCATTTTAATGAACAGCTTGTTTCAGGTTTACTTTCTATAGCTTTTGGATGTTGCTAGCCTAGCTTGAGTCCGTTTAAATGAATATGTATTTAGTATGCAATTGTTCAGAGTGATGACTCTCACTTGTTTCACATATTGTTCCAGTTATCCAGTGTTTGTGAAAATGACCTCAGTTGTTCCATTGGCTCTTTGACATCTGTATGTGAGGAGGATGAAGGTAATATAAAATGTGTTGACTGTTGTGTCCTCATTTCTGACTTGCTTTTAGTAAGGGACATTATTTGTTATTATAATTGTATAATCATATTATAATATACAGTCAGATGGTTGCTAGGACAGTCAGAATTGGAACTCTTCACTTGCTGCTGAGGATGGGGACGTAGAGCTTGTGGGAGTGTCCCAAGTGCTATGATATCGATTCTTAATTCAACATTGTTATCATAATGAAGTTTTTGTAATATTTTGTTTAAATTATGGACAAAGTCCGCACTGGAAAATGCTGAAAAATCAAAATATCCGATGGTGCCAAATCAGAAAAAAAGGTAAGGTGTTGAATAAATACAATAAAATAGGAACCATTAACAGACCCATCAGAGGTAGCTGAAAGATGGAGAGAATACTTCAGAGAGCTCTGTAACCCCTTGAGAGATTGCCAAGAAATAACAACCAAAGTCTACAAAGCAACAGTGCTAGAACCTGATATACTAATAACTAAAGTAGTTAAAGTCATTAGGCAGTCCCCATAATACAAAGCACCAGATGCTGGTAGATTACCAACAGAAATAATCCAAGCAGCACGTGAAAGCAACATTAGATGGCTCCATAGAATATTCATTGCGGCATGGGTACAACAAACTGCTCCCATTAATTGGCAACATGCAATAGTTGTACCATTGTGGAAGAACAAGAAAAGCAAACGAGAATACAATCAATATCAAAGCATCTTTCTTTTAAGTCATGTTGGGAAAATGTGTGCTAAGATAAAAGAAACGAGGTCGCAACCAGTGATAGAACCACAGTTGACAAAAGAACAGATGGGTTTCAGAAGAAACAGAGGCTGCACAGATGCAATTTTCACACTTAAACATTTAATAGAAAAGAACATTGAATATGATCAGAACTTATTTGTAGCATTTCTGGACCAGGAGAAAGTTTTCAACAGGGTAGATAGACACAAATTATTGAAAGTAATGGCTCAGTATGGAGTAAGCGAATACCTCACTGAAGTTTGCAAAGGTTTATATACAGATTGTAGATGCATAGTTAGAATAAATCAGGGAACATCTAAACCGTTCCGAGTAACATCTGGAGTAAGACAGGGATGTGTCTTTCACCACTCTTGTTTATCACCTACATTGACAGTGTAAACAAGGATGCCAGTCCCAGGAATGAAAATAATAGTAACATCAACAAATTACTCTTTGTTGATGATCAGGACTTGATTGCAGGTACAGCCATGAATTTGCAACATCTCACATACATGAATGAAGAATGCAAATCAAATAATATGAGAATCAACATCAAAAAGACAGAAGTAATGTCAATAAGAAGAAAGCAGCAGAATTTATATATAGCATCAGAACATGCATATATTAAATAGGCATCTGAGTTTAAATATCTTGGAACTAAATTTACTGAAGATGGTAAATTGGACAAAGAAATTTACATCCGATGCAGTAAAGCCAGCCAAGCATTGGGATAGCTAGCCTCCCTCTTACAGCATAAAGCAATTCCATTCGGGACAAAGAAACATCTCATACAAAGTATATTCATGCCCACCCTATGCTATCAGAGCCAGACGTGGTCACTAACAACAAAACATTAAAAAGAATAATTTGTAACCATAGAAATTAAGTGTCTGAGAAAGACTGTAGGAGTGACCAGAAGAGATAAAATCTAGAGTGAGGTCATATGAGATAAAGTTGGCAGAACCAATTCTAAATTACATATAAAGACAGCAAATCAAATAGTTTGCCCACTAGGAGAGAAGGCCTTCTGATGCTATAACAAAAGAGGAGAAGGACATAGAGCAAGAGGTAGACCAAAAACAATATGGGAAGATAACATCAGAGAAACTCTACAGCAACACAATGTGTCTATGGTCAAAGACAAAAAAGAAAGTAAAGAAGAAAAAGAAGAAGTTGAAGAAATTCAGTACTCAGATTCTCAGCTGCTAACTAAACTAGCCATGATTTGTGAGTGGGTGTTTTTTCTTGAAATGAAACCGTTTTGAGTATTATGCAATGCCTAATTTTTGGGTCACAACTTTATTAGTTTGGTAATATCTGCATTGTGCTGTTGTTTAATCAGTGCTCCCACAAACAGGCAATCACGTAATATAACACCAAAAACCAGTCAGCACCTTCTTTCCTGTAGCTTTCGATGCTCTGATTCTTCTTCATGTTCACTTGGCAAAAAGTTTTAGTTGTTCATCCACTTCTGGACTTAAGTCTTGCACCAGAACTTGAGTTTTGCATGCAAATCCATTTACTGATTTAGCTTATTTGTATGCAGACCATTGGTTCCTTGCCTCTCAGGCAGATGAAATCCAATTTTGAAAGAAACCCTAATTAGTCAACTCTTATTACATTCTTGTTCAGGAGGCAGCGAGTCTATTTTTTGTCTCCCCCCCCCCCTCCCCACCATTTCCACAGTCGGGCCACTGAACCCACCAGGGATTCTATTCTCTCATCTTTACAATTTGGGAAGCCATGGTATTCCTATTGTATGTTGAACATTTTAGACTGAAAATCATGATGGTTAAGCCATGTCACAGTTGCTATCACTATGGTCATGGTTGAAATCCTTGCTCTGTCACTACTGTTATTACTGCCACATCTGAGCAGTTGTCAACAGCAGCAACTTACCTTCACTGGTCTATACCAGTGGTTGGAGACCACTCATATATTTATAGATCAGTCTGCTCTCAATGGATGATGTGGTCAAAATCAATATTTCCACAGTCGGGCCACTGAACCCACCAGGGATTCTATTCTCTCATCTTTACAATTTGGGAAGCCATGGTATTCCTATTGTATGTTGAACATTTTAGACTGAAAATCATGATGGTTAAGCCATGTCACAGTTGCTATCACTATGGTCATGGTTGAAATCCTTGCTCTGTCACTACTGTTATTACTGCCACATCTGAGCAGTTGTCAACAGCAGCAACTTACCTTCACTGGTCTATACCAGTGGTTGGAGACCACTCATATATTTATAGATCAGTCTGCTCTCAATGGATGATGTGGTCAAAATCATGCCAGCCATCTTTACTTTCCAGGACTTTACCTGATAACCATTTAAGGCTGGGTCAACCTGGGACCCAACATAAACATAATGCTACCAGTATTTACTTCCCAGGTCATTTGCTGGTGCCCAGGGATTTTTTTTTTTTTTTTGTTCTAAAAAAAAATTGTTTTTCAATAATGAAGGTGCCAGTGCTCACCACAAAGTGTAAAAAAAAATGTGCCAGTGCTTACTGCAAAGTGACTATTTTAGTACTTCTGAAAAATCATAGCTTAAAAAGGTACTGGTACTGCATACTACTATTGCATACTACCAGGAAAAAAGGACTCCAGCTTGTACCCATCTAGGCTGGGTTGACAAAATGCTGAGGTCAGTTATTAAAAAAATTTCTGCTTATTTGCAAATTTGAATCCAAGACTTCTGGCCAGCAGATCAGCATCTAGCCACTCACTCCTGAGGTAGCCAGGACTGAAAGAGTTACTTTTTTTTTTTTCAAGGCAGAATGTATTTTGAAGGCAGTATGATTCATATTTATTTTGTTAACAGTACATTATTTGTTTATGCTGTAAATGTAAGGAGCAACATGACAATTGTCTTTTGTAAATTTCCCAACATTTAGATTATAACAAAATTCCACTAGTGCTGGATAATAAGAGAAAGCGAAGATCCCTTCAGCAGTACTCACATGGTACCAGAGAAACAAGACATCAACAGCCCAAAAAATCGAGGCTTACATTTGGGTTTAAGTTGGAAGGTAATCTTGGATGTGTTTATGTCTTACATTTTTCTTTCCAATCAAATGGCGGATAAGATATTTACAGTGTTTGTTTCCCTTGATTGGGTATGTCACTTTCTCTGCTTATATTTCTTACAATAAAGCGATTAGGTGTCTGTAAATATTGTTTAAAAATTTTGTCTGAATTAAGTATAGGAAATGATAGCTAAAGATATTATCAGTCATATATTGTGACTATCCCAAAAAGAAAAACTATTCAGTAGACCAGCCCCAACAGGGTGGCACACAAATTATAAAAAAATAATGTCTTCTGTATTCATGCAGAGATGTAACTGTGTTGTGCCCATTTACCGCATGGCTACGGTATCTGCACCTTTCGACTGACACATCTTACTTCTGAAGGCATTTATTGACCGGGTTTGCCTTTCCAATCAAGAATAATGTTATTGTCAGCTCCTGGGAATATATTAAGCAGGATTACTTTGGGGAGATTAGGATGCGGCAAACATCTGAGGGATGAACAGACATATTTTTTTAAACACATATAATGTGTGACTAAACGTTTATTTAAATAAAGTGCATGACTTTTTTCATATCTTTAGCAGGTTAAGAATATAATACTGAACCTAAATATGTATAGACACATTTTCACTTGATTTTATTTTATTTGATTTGATTCAAAAAGCGTCATCACAGGACTCGGGGCATTCCCATAAGCACTCCGTCCCCAACTTCAGCAGCCAGCAAAGTGTTCCGATACTAATGGTGCCAATATCATTCTGATTAAATGTCCATCTTGCCTTTCCTCTGAGCCTCGAGCATCTGCCAGAACCTCTCGTCACTCCCCGCTGCATCAATCTCACCAGACTGTGGTGATCCATCTGCTCCTCTGAACTATACACGCTCTCCCACATGGCACTAACCACATCTGCCTTATCATGTATCAGTATTCCACCAAGTTGTGCAGAGCCAGCCAGTCTGTCTGCCTGTTCATTTCCTAACACACTGGCTTGCCCCGGTGAAAATATCCAGACAATACTCCTCACCCGTGTCCTCCGCAGCGAAGCATGCGACTCTGCACGAAGCATACCTGTTCTTATCTTCCTCAGCATGCTTTCTGAGTCAGTTATAATCATGATGTGTGTGTGTGTCGTGTAATGTGTCAAGTGCAGAACACATGCCCAGTAGCTTTGGCGACGATTCCTATGTCCAATTTTTTATTTTTATTTTTGATTTATAATTCTAATGTTCACTTGATGAGGGATGTCATCAACATCGTTTTGTCTACTTTTACTTCCTGTGACCTCACCTTCTACCAGTTTTAGGCTGGATCAACCTGGGAGCCAAGGCCAGCTTTAAAAAAATCCATCTCAATGCATATTTGAACCTCAAACCTTCTGTCTTACAAACAAACATCTATCCACATTGCTACCATGAGTCCCACACAAGTTCTGAAATTTCTTTTCTGGTTGTAGTTAAAGAGATATTTGATACAAAGATCAAGCAGCTTGACAAATTATTCTGCTTTGAAATAATTTTTTCAAACAGGATCGGTAAAGAAACCCAAGCACACTGACGTTGGGAAGTCCCCTCAATTATCTGAATCTCTAGTTAAAATGCTGGCTTCCCTTCAGAAAGAAGCAGGACTTGGCAAACTAGACCTCAGTATAGGAGATCAAACACTGACATTTTCTGAGATGTATTATGATGCTGAACTACAGACCTACCAATGCCACAATGGAAGTGTGCTAGTAAATGGAACATGTGGTGAGTAGGGTTCACCCCTGTGTGTGTCTGTTTGTGTGTGTGAGGGTGTGTGTGTGTGTGTGTAGGCTTGTGTCTATGGGTGCATGGGTGTGTACATGTTTTGAGAGATAGAAAGAGAGGGAGGGAGTGAGTGAGCAAGTGAGAGATAGAGAGAGATTTGCTATGTCAGTAGATAGACTGGCAGGCTTGTATGTATGAAAGACCTTAAAATGAAAAATGAATAAATTCATGTTACTTTTGCAGACAGAACCAGAGCCGCTTATTATTAACAAACACTACAGCGGAGAAGTTATGTATGAGCTTCAGTTACCAGGATATGCATAATAGGAGCATGTGATGCTTGAATATGTATTGTTAGTCATTATTAGTCATTAGTTAGTCACAAGTCGAAGTTGCAACTTCACTTCTGATTGGTCACCCCTTATCTGCTTCATTTTTGTGCCAGTAAAAATCATACAAAACATCCTTCACTCTCCCATTTGAAAAAATAGTGAAAAAACAACAGAACCAGTAAAATCTTGAAGCTCACACATGCAAAGTAAATGTATTAAGCAGCCTTCAGATGTGCCAGCAATAACAGTCTCTCACCAGAACTGCAGCTTACTGTTGATGAAAGCAGTCACGAGAGCTAGCATTGTATAAGTACACATCATTCTGAACGTTATTAGTGCCCACCATGTTGGATACATATTACAACACAAAAGCATCCCTGACACAAGAGAAAATAAAAAACAAAAAAAACTCAGGAAATCCATTGCTCAAATGTCACATCAAGCACTCAGCTCAAAATGTCACATCAAGCACTCAGCTCAAAATGTCACATCAAGCACTCAGCTCAAAATGTCACATCAAGCACTCAGCTCAAAATGTCACATCAAGCACTCAGCTCAAAATGTCACATCAAGCACTCAGCTCAAAATGTCACATCAAGCACACAGCTCAAAATGTCACATCAAGCACTCAGCTCAAAATGTCACATCAAGCACTCAGCTCAAAATGTCACATCAAGCACTCAGCTCAAAATGTCACATCAAGCACTCAGCTCAAAATGTCACATCAAGCACTCAGCTCAAATGTCACATCAAGCACTCAGCGCAAAATGTCACATCAAGCACTCAGCTCAAATGTCACATCAAGCACTCAGCTCAAAATGTCACATCAAGCACTCAGCTCAAATGTCACATCAAGCACTCAGCTCAAATGTCACATCAAGCACTCAGCTCAAAATGTCACATCAAGCACTCAGCTCAAATGTCACATCAAGCACTCAGCGCAAAATGTCACATCAAGCACTCAGCTCAACATGTCCCATCAAGCACTCAGCTCAACATGTCACATCAAGCACTCAGCTCAACATGTCCCATCAAGCACTCAGCTCAACATGTCACATCAAGCACTCAGCTCAACATGTCCCATCAAGCACTCAGCTCAACAGCTGGACTCCCTGTGTTTGTTCCAGAGCCCCATTGTCGGGAAAACAAGAAGAGACCCACTGCCTGCCTAACAAGCATGTTGTAGGAGTCGACTAACTGGGGACTTCCTTTCGAAGTCGGAGTGCTTCTGCCCAATTGGCAAGGAACAACCAACTGCACACAAATAAGCCAGTATAACGGATGTAGATTCAAAACTCAGGCCCTGGCACAAAGTTAGAATCCAAATGGATGAACAACCAGGACTTTCTGCTTGAGCTTAAAGCCGGTGAACAAAGAAAAGGAAGATGAAGTAGCTGGGCAACTGAATCTTTGGACTTCTAGTCCAGAAATGGGGAAATTGCATCAGCAAAGTTTGAAAACAAAACAAGAGGAAAAAACAATTTTTTAAAGCAACAGTGACCAGCTGGCCTGTCTGCCATATTGAATGGGAATAAAAAATAAATTGTATTGAACCTCAAATAAAACCCAGAAGTGGAACTTTTTAATTCAGTCAGTTATAGCTGATAAGCCAGCGGACAATGAGTGGTACTGATTAGTGTCATTCTGTGTGATTGTACATTATCTTTAATGTCATCAAAGCATCTTCTTCTTATGTAGCCACCACTCTCTTATCAGCTATTCTTAGATGCTTGGGCTGGTGAACAAATGTATTGGACACTGTTGGAATTTAACATGAATCCCTAACAGAAACAATCATATTAGGGGACTAACATGGTATCTTTGCTCCAAATATGCTATTCATTATCTTTATATTGCTTTTCAAACATTCAGTGAGTAAGATTTAGCACAATAACATCTGTTACAAGTTCGACAGTGTTGGCATTAAATTATAAATTGTTGACCAAGGTTCCTCATATGTTGATTTCAAGTGTACTTGGCATTTTTCTTCTTTCACCTGAAAAGCAAATAACTGCCTTGTGACCTACAGAACACTCTTACTTAACACAACACTAGGTAAAATCTGCTGTCTGTCTCTCTCTCTCTTTTTTGTGTGTGTTCTCAGGGTCTGTTTGTTTGTTTCTTTATTTTTTAACTTTTATTTTCTAGACAGATGCATCCTGTCACAATACAAATTATCCCAGATAATAGGGAATACCGTTATTAATGTTTTCTAGTCAGATGCATTACTTTCTCTATAAAATTATTCCTACGTAACATATGCATACTTTAATATCACAATTAACTGCATCATATTCTCAAGACAATTATCACTATAATATGGATGCTCCTTAATAATACGGTTAAACATTTCATATTCTCTAACAAGAGGGTACCTATTTGAAAGATAACTTCATTAGTTTTGTAGTTAAAACAAATCCTGTTATCTAGAAGATGATCCCTTCCCTGTATAATAGTATCATCAAGATAATCGTATTGTGCTGCTTACCTCTCACATAAGACTTAGGGTCTGGTCCTCCATTCCATTCTATAATAGTTTCAATATCATGCATGGAATCTAGTCCAGCAGATTTGGCTACTCTCAAAAATAAATCTAGGGTTTTGTCATTTTCTTTTCTGTGAGCTTCTATAGCATGTTGTTTTATAGAATGGGGGAGCTGACCCCACCTAAACCCTCAGCCAATGGCTGATATGTAATAGTATTATCCCTTAATATTATAGTCAGATATCCCCCTGTGGATTCTAGGGCCCAATTTTGGTTGAGAAAGGAATAGAGCCACTGCCCTCCTAACAAGCATTCTGTAAAAGTCAACCAATCAGTGTTTTCTTCTTCAATGTCCGAGTGCATCAGCCTAAGAGGCAAGGAACCAGTCTGCACAGAAATCAGCCAAATCTGTAAAAGTGATGTGAATGCAAAACCCTAGAACAAGACCAAAATCAAGTTGTGGATGAACAACCAAAACATTTTGCTGGAGTTTACAGCTGGTGAAAGTGAAGAATAAGGAGGAGGAGCTGGTCAAATTTATTCTGTTCTTTAGAAATGTATACCTTTATGTCAGAATCTATTCCTTCTTGGAATTCTCAAACACAAAATATATATGTAGCCCATTTCTTATGTCACCTGTACGGAAATCTGCTGTATTGAAATCCTTATTAAGACATGGCTTCTAGAACAAAATTAACCTTGGCTCCAATTCATCCCTCACCCTGTGGGTTCCAAGGCTCCATTTTGGGCAACAAAGAATAGACCCAAGGCCTCCCTAACAAGCATGTCATAGGACTAATTAGGGGTGTTTCCTTCAAAGCTGGAGTGCATCTGCCTGAAAGGCAAGAAACCAACAGTCTGCATACAAATAAACCAGATCTATAAAATGGATGTGCATGCAAAACTTCAGTTCTGGATCAAGACCAAAGCCCAAAAGTGAGCGAGCAACCAGAACTTTCCGCTGGAGTTTATTTAACCAGTGAAAACTGAAAAGTCCCAATCTAAAAGCAGGCAATGTTCTAGTTAGTTAATGTGACTGGTGTGACACTGATCACATCATCCAGTAAATGCTGATGATTGGTCTATACAAGCTAGCAGGCCTATTGCAAACTTATTCAGCCACTTGAAAACATGAAAAAAGAGGACTTTTTCTATTTACATTGTATATTCACCCTTCCTTTTACCTGAAAACAAAGACCTAGCATTAATTTCCTAACTCTCTCTGCAGTGTGATGTATTTTTATCTGTGTAGTTTATAATGTTTTAATGTATAAAATATTTTAACAACTGAAACACAGTTTTATTTACCTATATTCTATGACTAGTGAACTGCCCAGTTGGAACATACTACAATGATATTAGCAGACTGTGTGAAGACTGCCCGAAAGGAATGTATCAGCATAAAGAAGGGCAAAACACATGTATGAAGTGTCCAGGAGTGAAATCTACAGTCAAATCTCATGCCAGAAGTGAAACTGAATGTTTAGGTTAGAGGAAGATGTTTTGTCTACCACTGTTCCATATAGGCTGTTCAATTGTTCAACTGATTTTCTAATACTTTATTTGTTTCATTGTGAAGCTAAAACAAGATCGTAATGGCCACAAATTCATTCCACAGCAAGATTTAAAATGTCAACACATGAAAAGACAACTAATAATATATAAATAACTGTAACAGCTCATACATAAATGAGTGAATGCATTGAAAGAGATTTTTAAGATTTGAGGTTTTGAGGTTTTGAACAACAGAACAACATCATGGCACATGGGTAGTAACCCATAAGTGCTCCATTCTTCATCAAACTCAAGTCTTAGTCCGAAGAAGGTCAGCACAATGTACAGGCTCTGAAGCACCACCTAGGATCCTGAAATACTTTGGGTAGATTTTTAACTCAAAATTTTGCCCGGGCAGGGCCGTTAGGTTACTCTTTTCGATTTCCAACTGCCAAGGGATTTATTACGTTCGCAGCAATGTACATTGGTGTCCAATCTCACTACTCGGAGACTAGGGGAAATTACTAGGTGCAAGTCCAAAAAAATCTCAGCCCTTCCCGGGGATTGAACCAGAACCTCTAACACTTGAGGCAAACACCATTCTTAAGACCACACAGCCCTAGAGAGATTTTTAACACAGACCCCAAATTCTCAAACTCTGTCTCTATCCCTCTGCCTGCCTGCCTGCCTGCCTGCCTGTCTGTCTGTCTGTCTGTCTGTCTGCCTGCCTGCCTGCCTGCCCGTCTGCCTGTCTATTTGTCTCTCTTTTTCTATCTCTACATTAATAATGTTGATATAACTGTAGCATTGCCAGCAGTGCTCACATGTTCACATGTTCCAGTATATGCCCGTATGCTTAACAAGCAGATAATTTTTTTTTTCATAAATTATGAAATTTTAACTAAATTCTTTATTTTTTTCCTCGCAAACGTTTTTAAACGAAGCACCAAGAATGCTTTTCATGATTGGTCAACATTTTAATGCTATGGTTTGCTTTCCAGGTTTATGTTTACCTGGCACATTTTCCTCAAATGGGTTGGAGCCATGTGAGACTTGCCACCTAGGATTTTATCAACCTGATCATGCTACTCAGTACTGCCATCCCTGCAGTCATGGACAAACCACTCATAGAAGAGGGGCACACAGAGAAGAAGATTGCACAGGTACAGTACTCAGCAGTATTTCTTTTTCTAGGAAAAAATGTGATGGTACTCACCATGAAGTATCTATGACAATGAACAAAATATAATGCTACTCACCATGAAGTATCTATGACAATGAACAAAATGAGGCCTTGAAAAAGAAAGGTGCAGGAACTACATACTATTGCATACCACCAAAGCAGAAGGCCCTGATACTTGGTATTGTCTGCATATTACGTAGTAAGTTAGTCCTTCTGGTGCTTTGAGACACATCAGTCATTTGGTGGCATCCCAATACTCCATAGACCAGTCAGCACTTTCTTGGTGATGTAGCCAAAAGATCATTTCCTAGTACCTGATTTAGGGTGAGCCGACCTAGGAGCCTAGGTCAATTTTTACAAATCTGCTCTGATGTAAATTCAAACTCATGACCACTAGACCAGCTGACTGTTTTTTTAGCTACACTTCTACAGTGGCTGCCTGTTTAAACAATATTCTTCCTAGATATAACTTTGTCTGCATAAGAGTCTTTCATAATTTATATCATGATCCAGATACCAAACCTTCTTTCCTGTCATATATAAATCATTTGCCATAGTATGCAGATTTTGAAAATGTCTAATGGCTTGTTGCCATGAAACTGGTGGTGCCTTATGTGATATTTAATGTGTGTGTGCGTGTGTGTGTGTGTGTGCTAGCATATGTGCATGCGTGTGTGTGTAGGCCTGTATGCTTTTAATGTGTGTTTTTACTTTTAATGTCTACAGTATGTTCCATTTTTTTTTTTTAAACAAGGATCAAAGCTGGGAATTCAGTGTGGTTTTTCCTGGCACAGAACCAGGTCAATTATGGGGTGATTCCCTCATCCTTGAAGCTAGAACTGTGATTGACTACTGTCAGATTTTAAAACTCTTCTCTCTATGATTATCTTCTTCACATCCTAATGTCCTTTCATATAAAAAAGTAAAGGATTCTCGTCTATGCCCTCAAGCATTGTGGGTATTTAGTGCTAGACTTATAATTGTTGGACTAACTGGCACTTTGTGAGTGATATGGTAAACATCATGCCGGCCTGTCCTTGTATATTCCCATAAAGTATGTTCCTCAAATGTGTGACAGAAATAGACAGATGGGAAACCCTTGAGGCTGTAGAAACTTACATAATAAACAAAGTATTGATCAAAACTGATAGAAAGATAGAAGGACAGACTAGACAAAATAAAAATCTAAGGTTGTAGAAATATTAAACATATATAATCAACAAACAGACAATGTATTAATTGTCACTCATAGAAAGAATAAGAAGAAAAGTAAAGGACACACTACACAGCTAAAAATAGGAACATTTTAGTTACCATGTCAGGAATCGAATTTGTCACCTTAAAACAACAAATGTGCTTTGCTACAGAAACAGGTGGGCTAAAACTAAGATGTATGACCAACTAACAGATATAAGTACATGATGTATAGTTCAGTATTCTTCCACCCACTGGTAGGCCGCGGAAAAGTTCTGGAGGGCCACCAACAATTTCTGCATAGTCCTGTAACGGGTTTGAGTAGATAATAGATCTTCTCTTCTAGGATTACTCTCAATAGGATGAACACCTCAAAGATAAGAATCAAACAGGTATATAACATGTCAGCATTCAAAGATGTTTAATGAAAACTGTGATTATCATGAAAGCACACACAAATCTGACCAAGTTGTCTTCTCATGTCAGTCTTGTATCCAAATATAAAATGTAATCATTGTCTATGTTTTGGATATCACTCCTTAAAAAAAAAACAGATATCCATGCCTGAGTTATAGAGCTTTCAGATCAGAGTGGGTTTTTCCCCCATTCTTCCTATTTGTTTGAAAAGACTTTCTCAGCCATGTCGTTAATATTTTCCCCCTTCTTCCTATTTGTTTGAAAAGACTTTCTCAGCCATGTCAGTAATATTTTTCCCCCTTCTTCCTATTTTTTTAAAGGAATTTCTCAGCCATGTCAGGAATATTTTCCCCCTTCTTCCTACTTGTTTCAAAAGACTTTTTCAACCATGTCAGTAATATTTGTCCCCCTTCTTCCTATTTGTTTGAAGGATTTTCTCAACCATGTCAGAAATATTTTTCCCCCTTCTTCCTATTTGTTTGAAGGAATTTCTCAGCCATGTTAGTAATAAAAACAAAATCAGAGAAGTCAAATGAAGGTTATGGCAGCATTTTTCTATCACAATTAATGCTCCAGCCATGTATATCATATTCTCTAGCCTTTAAGCAGCAGGTGTCATATTAGCTGAAAATTGTAATTTTGTGACACTTGATTTAACCAACTCACTGCCATCTACACATGTCTTTTGTTTCTGTGCTTGGTTAGCTGCCAGATGGGCTGTCAAACAGTTTTTCCTCATTTGGTGGGCAGCAGATATAACAAGGTTGAGAAACACTATTATAGTCCGTGCTGTTTAATGCCAAATTGTTTCTGATTCATTCATTCTTTCTATGATACCAAACTAACATTCTCTCTCATGAACTCCCCCTACCTTTCTTCCCTTCCAATTTTCTTGTTGTCCCAACATAGTCTAGTATTCCCATTTCTCATTGGATGCTCAAAGAATATGAATTGTCTGCTTCTGATATGGAGTCGAGCTATCCAATCCGCTTCTGATATGGATAATCACATTATGAGATACATAAACAAATTGTTATATGGTATTACAATAATAAAGGGAACAATCTTTATGCACTCCAGGAGGTGTAGTTGGTATACAGTGCTGATATTGTTAAACTTTACAGCAATCAATGAATGATATGGTCAATGTCAGGGTGACTGCCTTTACTTCACAAGAAATTTCCCAACACTCATTTTATACCAGGACCTAAGGGAAACTTTTTCACTCTAAAGAGGAATTACACCTGACATCTAGGCTGGCAAGCAAGAGTTCTTATCACTGTGCTAGTACAGCTCTCAGTATGTGATACAGCTCCAAGTATGTGATACAGCTTCCAGTATGTGATACAGCTCCCAGTGTGTGATACAGCTCCCAGTGTGTGATACAGCTCCTAGTGTGTGATACAGCTCCCACTATGTGATACAGCTCCTAGTGTGTGATACAGCTCCCAGTGTGTGATACAGCTCCCACTATGTGATACAGCTCCCAGTGTGTGATACAGCTCCCACTATGTGATACAGCTCCTAGTGTGTGATACAGCTCCCAGTGTGTGATACAGCTCCCACTATGTGATACAGCTCCCAGTATGTGATACAGCTTCCAGTATGTGATACAGCTCCCAGTGTGTGATACAGCTCCTAGTGTGTGATACAGCTCCCAGTGTGTGATACAGCTCCCAGTGTGTGATACAGCTCCCACTATGTGATACAGCTTCCAGTATGTGATACAGCTTCCAGTATGTGATACAGCTCCCAGTATGTGATACAGCTCCCAGTATGTCATTCAGCTCCCAGTATGTGATACAGCTCCCAGTATGTGATACAGCTCCCAGTATGTGATACAGCTCCCATTGTGTGATACAGCTCCCAGTATGTGATACAGCTCCCAGTATGTCATACAGCTCCCAGTATGTGATACAGCTCCTAGTATGTGATACAGCTCCCAGTGTGTCATACAGCTCCCATTGTGTGATACAGCTCCCAGTATGTGATACAGCTCCCAGTATGTGATACAGCTCCCAGTATGTGATACAGCTCCCAGTATGTCATTCAGCTCCCAGTATGTGATACAGCTCCCAGTATGTGATACAGCTCCCAGTATGTGATACAGCTCCCAGTATGTGAAACAGCTCCCAGTATGTGATACAGCTCCCAGTATGTGAAACAGCTCCCAGTATGTGATACAGCTCCCAGTATGTGAAACAGCTCCCAGTATGTGATACAGCTCCCAGTATGTGATACAGCTCCCAGTATGTGATACAGCTCCCAGTATGTGATACAGCTCCCAGTATGTCATACAGCTCCCAGTATATCATACAGCTCCCAGTATGTGAAACAGCGCCCAGTATGTGATACAGCTTCCAGTATGTTATACAGCTCCCAGTATGTGAAACAGCGCCCAGTATGTGATACAGCTCCCACTGTGTGATACAGCTCCTAGTATGTCATACAGCTCCCAGTATGTCATACAGCTCCCAGTGTGAGAACAGCTCCCAGTAGGTCATACAGCTCCCTATATGTGATATACCGTTACTGAAATCCTTTTTTTTTCTCAGTTTTCCTGAAGTCCATAGAGTATATGGTGTTAACATCATACTTAGAAAAAACCTATCAGCTGACTGGTTGATGTGGTCACCATCATGCCAGCCATCTTAACTTTCTAGGAAAATATTTGGTAGTTATTTTACATCGGATCAACCTGGGAGCAAAAGATAAATTTTCTCTACAAATTTACGTCAGAGCAGATTTGAACCCAAAACTTCTAGGTCAGCAGACACACATCTAGCTACTACACTCCACGGCTCCCTACTACATGCAATATCATGAATTACAAATTTAAGTCTTGTCATTATGTTTGTTGTTTCGAGTCATGTATTATTTTTTTTCAGACATTTGTCCTCCTGGCTTGGTAAGCTCAACAGGTTTGGCGCCCTGTTTTCCATGCCCACACAACAGTTTCCAGCCCAAGTTTGGTCAGACAGAGTGTTTTCGCTGCCCTGAGGACAGCAACACCACAAATGTTGGCGAGACCTCACTTGATGCCTGCATCTTCAGTATGATTTTCACTACATAATTATATTTTACTTATAAAATGGCTTCAGATTTATGAATTGCAGTATATCATCATCATCACCTTCTAGTAATGCCTTTAAGTTTCATTGGAAGGAACGGTTTGCAGTCCAGAACTTGATGTGTGGCATTAGCTACAATCAATCCATGTAGGTGTATAATATATTTAATGTTTTTAATCCTATGGACAAATGAGAACAAGTCAAGGCACAACCAATTACATAACCATGTGTACACAAAATTCAAGATAGGCCTATCAGCCATGTGTACCTGTGGAAAGGTGCCCCAAACAGCAGAGCATGTACTCCAGGACTGCACTGAATTTGGCACATTCAGGCAAACCTTTTAGCCAGAAAAAACAACAGTGGAACGTAAACTCTATGGACCACTGAATGAACTAATAACGACAGTGACATTTATACGAGAAACAAAATGGCTGATATTGACAACTTATTTCAGGCGAATGAAAGAAGAAGATGCAGCCTGGCACCTAGCCAATACACAACGTGCCAACTGCCCATGCTTTTTCACAAATTTGATTATTCAGCAACATATCAGATTATTAAAAAAAAAAAAAAATCATGTTGTCATTTTCACTGTCATACGTACAGTAACCTAAACTAGCTTTACATCAGTTATACCTGCCACTGTGTTCTTCATTTTGTTTTCTCTCTCTCCATCACTTTCTATCTTTCTCATTTCTTTCAGTCCTTTCCTCTCATGTTTTGCTAATTCTCTCATCTCTCTCTGTCTCTCTTGTTTCTGTTATTTTTCATGTCCCCTATCTTTCCTTCTCTTTTGTTCTCTCACATCACCCATCAAGGACTGACTTGTCTATAGAAATATAAGTCTAGCGTCAGATTTGCCTGATACACATCAGTTATGAAAAAGAAATATTTTTCTTTAGTAATAGTACAGAACAGTTAAAAACATGAATGTGTACATTATTATTGACAGAAATTGAAAGCATAGATTACTTTGTGTTTATCATTAACAGCGGACATGCAATCAGACGCGGGAGTCAAGAAAGGTGGCGGTGGACAGCAGAGGTTTGCTTTTCACATTTGCTTAACAGACATTTGCCAAAATGGAGGGACATGTGAACCATTGACTGGAGCTTCTTCATTTAGATGTGTCTGTCCCAAAAGTTTTACAGGTAACTTTGGTTGCTATATAAACAATGAATTACTGTTACATCAGTTGTTTTTCTGTAAAAAGGATATGCCAGTGTGTCAAACAGAAACAACAAAATTAGCCTTGGAAAGCAGTAAGGTATTGTCAGAGGAAGTGGGTCTTCCTGCTGAAGTGGCTAAGCTATTTGCCTTTTGCTGTTTAGATTTATGTGTTCAGTTTCCTCAAGAGGAAAATGGAAAGACAGAAATGATGGATTGGTTGAACCTATGTCATTATTTATGGACAATATCTAAATGTATATCTCTCAAGGCAAATATTGGAATGTTGTTGGTTTTCTACCAGTCCTGGCCCCGCTTGCAAATACTAGGTGTATAAATGTTGATTATTTTGGTAGTCTTCTACCTCTCTCATCTGATACTGAAATGTGTGACTTTTTGATCATTCTGGTAGTGAGTGCTCTCTCTCTCTCAGCAGATACTGGAGCACATTGTTGTTTGAAACAGACAATGGAATAGCTAAATGTCATGGAAACAGGCCCTGACAGAACTAAATATTATTGATTTGAACATGAGTGGCTAGACGCTCGCCGATCGGATAGTGGTGGGTTCCCTCCCTGGTGGAGCTGGACTATTTTCAAAAAGACCTTTACTTCCAGGTCTACCCAGCCTTGAGTGGGTACCGGATGCAGTCCCGGAAAGTTAATGCGGCCGGCGTGATGCTGACCACATCACCCATCTTGTGCCGATTGGTCTATAATAATATAGGTCTAGCCCTATATGCCCTATATGCCTAAAGGCATGGAAAAGGGTCCTTTTTTCTTTTGAACATGCCTCAAGGCCCTTGTTAATGTGAAACAAGCATTGAAGAGCTGGATTTTATGAACTAGAACTCAGCCGTTCTAGCACAGCAGCTTGATACTTGCTGTCAGTCCAAAAGTCTTGAGTTTGAATTCACATTTGGGCAGATTTTGTTCATTATTGATTTTGCCTTGGATAAAGAATCAGTACCTGAATATATCCTGAGAAATAAAAATAAACGTGCCCACTAGGATGCTGACCACATGGCTCACCTAGTGTCAGAAATAAAACCAAAAAAAAGTCTGTCACTCCTGATATTGTAAAAATAGACCCTTACAGTTTTTTTTTTTTTAATGAATATCATGAACTAGAACAAATGACTTCAGACGTATGCAAAGTTGAAGGTTGGACGCAGGCCCTCGTGAAGCTAAGTATCATGTACTAGAATACTATCTTCAGTGATATAAGGCCATGGAAACTGCTTAAAGCAAAGACTTTCAAACTCTTGAATCTGTAAAACAAATGATTTCTTGAGCTGTTTCTTTTGTTTGACAGGGACAAGGTGTGAAAATGCTCTTGACTTCTGTGAAGCAAAACCCTGTCACAATGGAGGGATTTGCTTACCAACGCCAGGAGGTTTTCAGTGTGACTGCATGAAAGGATTTACAGGTAAAGATAATCATCTACATTCAGTAAGTTGTCCTTATTTCAGGAACATGACAAGCATTTTAATGCCTGTATTGAGCACTTGCTAGACTGCTGTAGGACTATGGGTGGGGGGAGGCTTGAGTTCAGAATTTAAGGTTATATGCTAGTGCAGTTGCCATCAAGCTCAGAATTCTTAAACACTCAGCCAGTTGCTTTTCTGTTGTTGCTTGGTGGGATTGCCATAAATGATTTCCTATTTTTAAAAAATAAAAGAACTTGCAACAAAAAGACACATTGGTTTTTAAAAAAATATATAGAAAAGATGAAATTGGAGTAATGGCATATGCTCTGTTTTAACCAATTAGGTTGCTTGTACAATTTGTAGGACTGACACTGTATGGGCATAGGTCAGCTGTAATCTCTGATGTCATTCAGTTTCAATGTTTAAAAAAGAATGAATACATATATACAGAAACTGTAATTATTTATCAGAATTTTGCTAGTTGCCAGCATATCATATGTGTTTAGAATGATGGATGACTCAACCTGCTGTCAGGTGACATCGGGGGTACAAGAGAAATTATTGTAGATAAGTTCAGAGTTCAGTGTCAGAGACAAAGCATGTCAAAAATAGTGTTAAAATAATCACAGATCACTTAAGATCTGAGCACCAGAGAAGAAGTAAGTTAAACACATACTAGGACAACAATGGTCCTGAGATCCTATACTTTAACTGGGGAAGACTTCTTAATGCAAGAACGTCTTTTTAGTCACTCTGTCCACATTGTCATGGGTTGTGAATCCCATTCCCCCTGTAGCACAATAAGGCTATCATCTGGAAAGATGGAACGACTTAGTTGTTATTGCTCTATACAAGTATGGAGCTATAAATATATGCTTGTAAAAGGTCCTTTACTTCTGTTACTCACTGATATGTTATAGGCCACCAATGAATGCCTTTTTCTTACTTCCTCAGCTAGTAATTGGCAATCTAAACTGTGTCCACCAAGTTTCCTTCTGTTAACCTTTCTAGCTAAAATATCAGAAATATGAAAAGCAAAAAATAAAAAATTTAACTCTTTCTGTCTGAACTATTGTAACTTCAACCTGTTCTACTTCAGTTGTTTGAAGTAATAATAAATAGTCTGAAGGAATGAGCCAGGCTGAATTAGGCTAAGAACTGACATCACGACACTCCTAGACATGCTCAATGTCAAGTACAGAGTCTGATGGCATGATCATCTTGCCTTTACCCCTGACTGTTGAGTGCTGGCCAGATCCTGATTTCCTGGTCACAATGGAGAGAAGAACAAGACAAGTTCTTAGTATAATAATAAAGAAATGGACTAATGAAATATTGTGTTTTGCAGTTATAAAATGTGCAGGCTTGGCTGAAAAGGAAGAAATAACAGTAAAGCATCAACTCTGCCCCCCCCCTCTCTCTCTCTCTCTCTCTCTCTCTCTCTCTCTCTCTCTCTCTCTCTCTCTCTCTCTCTCTCTCTCTCTCCCTCTCTCTCTGTATGTATATAATACACACACACAGCAATTTTTACTTATTATGTATGTATATGTATGTATGTATACACACACACACACACATATATATATATATATCTGCCTGTTGAAACAGTGGTCCTGATTCAGTCCCCAGAAATGGCAGGATTCTATACTGACCAGGAGAACACTAGGATCAACCCAGACTTATACAGATGGAAACCAGATAATCTACAGACTAATGATGGCATTATGGTGAAAGGAAAGCCCCATCAAAAAAGAAAATTGGTCCCCCCCCCCCCCCCCCCCCCCCCCCCCCACCCGCCCAACCTCACCCCAGTCATAATTTCCCTATTATATACGTTGTTGCCTGGAATTTGTAGGTGCCTTATGGTTCATACCCCAGTAACAGCATCCGCTATAGGCTATCTTAATTTATAATAATCAAATCTAAGCCATAGTTTGGAATATTTTGACATGTGTAACATTAACAATTGACATTAAAGCCTCTTTTGCTTAAAGTGATAGCTCTTTTATTTATGCATTTGTAGGCACCAACTGTGAGATCAACATAGATGAATGTGCCAGTCTTCCATGTGCAAACAAAGGAACCTGTGTAGATGGCATCAACTCATTCACTTGTAACTGCCCGGTAGGATACACAGGTATAGGGATGTTTTCAGCCATCCTAAAAAACAGTTTGTTTTTTAAATCAGAAAAATGGAACAAGAGGTGTAGTACTTAGCTAGATAACAATGTCCAAATTACTCACAGACCGGTTACATGTAAACACTGTAGATCAATTGAAGAATTAATTAATTTCATGATTATTTGTTTAAAAAATAACACCTTTAACTTTTTCAGGCCCATGAATGTTTACAAACTTGACCCACATTAATTTTCCTTTACAAAAATGGCAGAGGGGGTGATGTACAAAAAAGACAATAGAGTATGTAATATACTTTTAATCCCTACGAAAGTATGTATTTTTTTAAAGAGAAGTTAATGTACATTTTGAATATGATAATTAGTAGGCCTATATGTTCAATACTGTTATAGTTAGTTGGAAAGAAGAAATCAACAAGAGTTAATTTCACAACAACAAAATGTTACCAAAAATATTTTCTCTCACCATTGTTTTGCAGCTGTAAGAGCAGTGAATTTCAAAATTTGAGAATAAAACTTTAAAGTCCGTTCAATTTCCTAACATATTACAAGGATATAATAAGTTTCTGGATTAGTTTAGCACTCAGAGGCTCTAAGTTCTCACAGAGTGCTGGAAAAAAATGTCCGAAAAAAAAATGCAGAAAAATTAACAATTTCACACTATTTACTAATCACTTAGTACCGTTATATACAAACTGTAGCTGCAATGATTTAAATGTAGCTTAACCATAGTATGGTACTGTCTATTTGTTTAGAGTATTTTTCTTCTCTTACACCCTAAATACGGTAGCAATGGAACATTCCTTGTGTCCAACTGGTCAGAATTGCTAGATTCCCAAACAGCTGATCGTTTAACTGCCGCAGGTGTAAATTAACCGTCCAAATCACTTTCCGGAAAATCTAAAAAATTTTCATCATTATCAGAATTGAAAACATCCCACTGAAATGATTTCTGAGCCTTGGCCATAAAAAGACGCATATGCAGCCTGAATTTGTGGTTGGAACACTGATGTCCATGGCATCAAACGCAAAATTACAAAATGCACAGTCTGGAAAGGGATAAGATCAGCCACTACACGTAGCTGAATAAAGGCTAATAAACAAAGAAAAACCTTTAGAGTGACTTTCCCTGAATACTTTAATAGTAGTTTCGAACATAAGAAAAAGTAAGCAGTTGTGTTTGAAGCAATTTTTATGGGACACAAGAATTATGCTGACAGCATTGTTTAGGCAAAACGGAACTTCTCAGTCAACGCTCGAACGTTGCTAGGGCCTTAAAGAGTTAAAGATTGTTGAACCAATTTGATGCTTGTTTTTTTTTTTTTAGGGTGTTTTTTTTTTCAAAAGTCTTTACAGTATATGTATATGTAGTTGCAAACTTACAGTTCCCCAGTATCAAACTATTATTTTTGCTAAGTATCCCAACTTATTATGCTTGTACATTTTATGTTCAGTAGGAGCAGGATAAAACACTCAACAGCACATTTGACTCCCACAAGGGATGCATATCTGGGCCTGTGGATGTGGTATACCCTTTATTTATGTTGATTTAACAATTGACTCACAGGGATATCAACTGTCACTCTGGGGTTAAAAGAGTTAAAACATAATTTGTTAAATGTATGGCTCTAAGGCTTAGAGGTTAGTGAATGTGTTACACAATCTTTGAGATATAAGGCTTCGGTTTCCATAGTGGGGGCTAAAAACAAACCATGGACGAGATGAAAACCACATAATATTTCCAGAGACAGCAATAGAGTTTTATCCACTACAGCCAACATCCATTGCTGAAACAGCACAACAATGAGTCATTTATGTTGTTCAGGCATACTTCCTTATACACAAATGATTCTTTCCAAAAAATCATCTTGTAACATAAAAGGATATAAAGTGAATTGATTCCAACATGCATTACAAAAGTAATATTAGGTGTAGTTTGAAAGGGAGAGCATAGCTTAGATTTCAATCATTACAATTAAGTACTATTTTATAAATTGTACAATCACCCACAAATGTGTTTAATTACATGAAAAGCTGGCAGGTTACAGTTACATGATACAGGAAATGGTTCTGGTGAGTCAGCATCACTTTCTTCCTTTCTTGGGGATCATGGGATGGAAGGCTGGTCTTCTTTTTTTTTTCTTCTTCTTTCTCTTTGCATTCATGCAGAAAGTTCTAGTTGTTTACACACTTCTGAACTCAGTCTTCTTCCAGAACCTGAGTTTTGCCATTTTACATATCTGGCTTATTCTTATGCAGATTATTGGTTCCTCACATCTCAGATACACCCTGACTTTGAAGGAAACATCTCTAATTAGTCGACTCTTACAACATGCATGTGAGGGGCTAGTGGGTCTATTCCCCACCCACCTTTTTTTTCCCCCAAAGGGGTCCCAGAATCCACACAGAGAGGAAGGCTGGTGACAGTCAGTTTTTGTTAGAAAATGATTGTGACATCTTACAAACAGCATTATTCCTCTCTGTAAAGTTAGTTGCCTTTCCTTTACAGGATGGCAGAACCAACCCCAGCATTTTTTGGCTGTTGTGCTTTTTCTAGTCAAATTTACATCCAGCAGTTTGCCATTGCTTTCTGGATGGTTTTCTTCTCGATACCACTGTCGAAACCAACGAAGGCTGGAATCGAACCCGGCATCCCAATTTTATGAAGCTCTTTCGCAACACCTAAGGTACAGACGCCTCTCTCTGTACAGTTTCTTTTAACATGGCAAAGAGTTCTGAATCTCTCTGGAAACTTTGGCACTTCTGCTTACATTTGGATCATTCACCTTTGTAATCTTAACTGCATTGTCAATGTGCAGAAACAATGTTATCAGTTGTGCTGTAGACAAGTTTGTGATGGGTTCAACCCTAAGCTCCCCTTCTTTATAACTTTCCCTATCATTTTTCCATTTCAAAAAGATCGTCATTGGTAAGCTCTGATAAGTGGACTGGAGCAATTCGCCCACAAAGTCACATTACCCTCATACACCGTGACTGCAGAATACAGAACAATTTTCTCATGGTCTTTTTCTCTAAATTACCTTATAGCAAAAACTCTTCGAGTGAGGATGTGTATAATGAGGCATTCATGCATACAACTGATGTATTATCTGTGTAATATTGTAATTGTATGCTGCATATGTTTTTCAGGTCGTACATGCAGTGCTACTATAAATGATTGTGCTGACGCACCATGCCGCAATGGGGGAACCTGTGTTAATGCACCACCTAGCTTCAAATGTCAGTGTGTTGTTGGTTACACTGGAGAAACTTGTGAGCTTGACATTGATGAGTGTATGTCTGCACCATGTCAGAATGGTGGAAACTGTAAGGATTTGGTGGGGATTTACAGGTATATTTAGATGTTAGTTTATCAAGTATAGCCTCTTATCTGCCATTTACTGTTGGTATTTGCCAATTTCACTGTTTAGGAAAGGATGGGGGGGGGGGGGGATTTTTGTTTAGTGCAGTCATCATGGACTTTGTGGGTTCAGATTTTTGTTGGTGCTCATGAGAGACTTGAACCTGGGTTTCCTGCATGAGAGCTCTGTCTTCTTATCCATTTGGCAAGCCGCTCATCAGCACAGCATTCACTGTGTTTAAAATGGGAATGACTGTGGCAAGTATATATCCCCCAAAAAATTCACTAAGTACAACCAGGAAACTCAATAAATAAGAAGGGGAAAACATGCACTAATACAATCAAATTTCTGTATCAATGAATAAAATAAAGACAAAAGGTGGTTAGAACATGAAGGGTATGAAACAAAAAAGGCATCTGAAAAACAGATGAGGGTAGGGAGAGGGAAGGGGGATACATAACATAACATAACCATCGACCCATTAGGGTCGCAGAGGTGTATTGATGGAAGCACTAGCACATAAAACCTGCCATCTTTCTCTGTCTTCTGCTTAATGAATAAGTCTATGATAATGTATTCATATCCCTTTTTTGATGTTATCATTCCAGGTTATTCTTTGCCTCCCTCTTCCCCAAATATTTCTTAAAGTACAGTTTTTGCAATCAAATCATGTCTTACCCAAACCAAGATGGCCTGCAACATTTCAACACTGCCAAGAAAGGCTCCTGATTTCCCGCAAATGTTTATATTTTGTCTCTGACATATTTATTAGTTTTGTGTTCTAAATAACTAATTCATAAAATGCATCTATAGCACTTACATTCGGGGGTCTGAATCCTTCTTTCCATTTCCACAGAGAGAGTCCAACTTTCAAGGGGATGGGGGGGGGGGGGGGGGGGGAGAATACAAACAAATACAATAAATAAATAAACAATAAAAATATAACTGCTTATTTTACCTATTTCTGGTTACATGTTGACCATTGGCTGTTTATTAGTTTTTTTGTCTTGTCCACTGATAAAGATGTTAGCCAAAAACGTGTTCAGATGTATTGTAGTTGTGTTTTGCATTTCCTCTGTTGAGCTTTCAAGTCACAGTTTGTGTTGTATTAAGTACTTAGTATGGAAGTATTGTTTTCATTTTTAAAATGTTAACAGAAACACATTTTTGTGTGTGTTTATGTACACAACTCATATGGAACTGAATAAATACACACAAAGTAACAGTATTTATGTTTATAACTGTGTAGCTGTGAGTGCAAGGGAGGGTTTACAGGAAAGAACTGTGAGGCAGAAATTAACGAATGTGCTGACAGCCCCTGTCAGAATGGGGCAGTGTGTGAAGACCTGTTGGATGACTACACATGTAAATGTGCTGCTGGCTACACTGGCAAGAAGTGTGAAAAGGGTGAGATGTTTTCACTTGAATATGATGCTGTGTTAATTTAAACACTGTGATAATTTTAAAGACTGTAATGATGTTAGACCTTCTGATAAGGTTAAACACTGTGATAATTTTAAAGACTGTAATGATGTTAGACCTTCTGATAAGGTTAAACACTGTGATAATTTTAAAGACTATAATTATGTTGGACCTTCTGATAAGGTTAAACACTGTGATAATTTTAAAGACTATAATTATGTTGGACCTTCTGATAAGGTTAAACGCTGTGATAATTTTAAAGACTGTAATAATGTTGGACCTTCTGATAAGGTTAAACACTGTGATAATGTTAAACATATTCAATGTTTTCTTGAAGAAATTAACAAGATATGCGTAATCCTGTGTTTCAAGAAAGGTCTAGCACTATATGCCCATTACACCTGGAGGTGTGGAAAAGGGTCTTTTATTGACCTACTTACTTATGTTTCAGGAAGCAAGGAAAAAAGCCTCACACAGAGCACAACCTACATAGCTCAGATGACGATCATCAGGGAAAATAGCATTCGTGAAATGAGCAGCGCCACCGTGAGCATGAGGCAAACGGCTTGACCATTTCACCATGGACACCCCTATAAAAACTATAAAGGAAAAGGGACCTAAAATATACTCAGAGAAGAGAAGTAGAGACAGAGGGAAATAATATGGAAAGGACACAATTACTAATTTAATTGTTCTCAAATTGTGAAAGAGTTATATCTCTGTAAAACATAATAAACTGTATATGTGTGGACTTGTAAGGAGCAGCAGTCCAAATGAATAAGAATACTGGGCTCTTATGCAGGAAACCAGGGATCACAACTTTCATAAGGTTATGAGTTTTTCTGTTATGGGGAAAAAAAACTAAATACTTACCTGGTTGCTTAATGACAGAAGTGGATATTGATGATGATGATGATGATGATGGACAATGAGCAATATTCTGCAAAGGACCTGCTTGATTATAATAAACCTATTTTGTACAGATTTAACTATAATCAATGTCCTACACAAGCACCTGCATGATGATGATGAATCTTCTGCCATTTTGGTAATGTGATCATATAACCAGGATATCTTCCCCTAAGTCTGCAAAAGCTAAACCTAGAAGCTTTAGCATGTGTCATAGAAGTACAATTATAACATTGTGTTTTATTTGACTCACCTATCATATCTTCTGTTTGTGAACAGCTCTGACCTCTCAGTACCAACTGGACTTTGCTGACCCAAGTATCATGGACTATGCACAATTAAATATAGAAGCCCCTATGACCTCCGTGACTGTGTCCTTCTGGCTTCGAACCACAGACAGAGAGCATCAAGGCACACCATTCTCATATGCTGTACATGGGGAACCAAATGCTTTTACAATTACAGATTATAATAAGTGAGTGATCAATCTGTCTTAATTCATTCACTATCAGTACACCCTAACTGATAAACTCTGGGTTTTAAATCATAACTGTCAGATTCAACTCAAAATCTCACCTTCAAAAACCCACTGGGTCATGGGTGACCCAGCCTAAAAAGTCGCTTTAAAATCAAGCATAGTTGAGATACTTGATGTTGATGATTATTATGTGTTTTAATGTAATCAAATTATTAAATATTTGGAATCAATCTGAACATGACTGAGCATTGAATTATATTTTCTTATAATCATTTTCTTTTACCATGATCACCCACGGGGTCACAGTTGGGACATTTAAGAAAAAAGGTCTTTTACCAGGATGACCCAATTGGCTGCGGTTGGAGCATTTTAGTAAAGTACGTCTAGGTCACAAATTTTTAAAAATTATGATTAAAATGTACTTTCTGGCCTAAACTTATGATAATGCAAAGTGATACTGATTCTTTGAATACTTCCAATGCAAATACTTTTGTTCTCTCTTTCTAGTTTGAATTTAATCATCAATGGAGAAGAAGTGTCCATTGCCCTGTCTCTGAATGATGGTCAGTGGCATCATGTGGTTTTGACCTGGTCTAGCTTGAGGGGTGACTGGAAAATTTATGTTGATGGTGTACTCAAAGATCAGGGCTATAATCTGTCCACAGCCAAACCTATACCAGGTTTGTACATGAGGTTCCTTTGCTTTTGATAAAACACAGCCAAACCTATACCAGGTTTGTACATGAGGTTCCTTTGTTTTTTATAAAACACAGCCAAACCTATATCAGGTTTGTACATAGGGTTCCTTTGTTTTTGATAAAACACAGCCAAACCTACATCAGGTTTGTACATAGGGTTCCTTTGTTTTTGATAAAACACAGCCAAACATATACCAGGTTTGTACATGAGGTTTCTTTGTTTTTGATAAAAACAGCCAAACCTGTATCAGGTTTGTACATAAGGTTCCTTTGTTTTTGATAAAACACAGCCAAACATATACCAGGTTTGTACATGAGGTTCCTTTGTTTTTGATAAAAACAGCCAAACCTGTATCAGGTTTGTACATAAGGTTTCTTTGTTTTTGATAAAACACAGCCACACCTATACCAGGTTTGTACATGAGGTTCCTTTGTTTTTGATAAAACACAGTTAGCCAATGCTGATTTACACTGAAGACATGTGGTGTTTATTAGGGTATGATTTGTTTACTATTGCTTCAAACAGTGCTAGGGTTTATGTCTTATTGTAGTATGTGGTTCATGATAACTATAAAAATATGTGTGTTTGTACATGTGTGTGTGTGTATATGTGTGTTTGTGCATGTGAGTGTGTATATAAATGTGAGAGAGAGAGAGAGAGAGAGAGAGAGAGAGAGAGAGAGAGAGAGAGAGAGAGAGAGAGAGATAGAGAGAGAGAGAAAGAGAGAGAGAGAGTCTGATTTCTAACAATAATTTATTATATTTGCTTGTATATGTGTGCATTCACAGACATATATATACAAGCACAGACATTTAGAATAATCAGCAGTGCTCCAGAAAAGAAGTTGTCTCATTGTAAAGTCCATACTGTGTAATGCTGTGGCAATCGTAATCGTGTATATTTACAGCCTTTCAATCTCAATTATTGTCCAATCATTTATAGCGCAGATGTTTTTCCATAATATGGTGCCAAAATCTTCTCTCCTGATCTTCCTCTATCTCTTTTCACTTTACATTTTTCATTGTCACAACATGTTCCGGTTTTCCCTTATGACATGCTTAGCTGTAGCATTAACTTCAATAAGATATAAAGTTAACTCTGGAGGTTCTGGTTTCAGTTTTGTTCTATGTGTTTTGGTTTATTAGTGCAGCAGTTTCAGAGGTACCTAGAGCTAATTGCTGGAGTAATAAGAGTTCATGCTTGTATCATGCTTTTGGTATGCATGCAGACACTTTATGAAGAAAGATGAGCAACTTGGTGTAAAACCCTATGCAGTTTGAGAAACCTGGAGAAACAGGGAAAGAGAAATCTGGCCTAAAGGGCAAAGTGTGCAGAGCAAGCTATGGGGAACCATGGAGAAACTGCAACTGACATGTGAGTTCATAGAGGCAGCTCAACCAATGTTCTAATCTGAGCACATGAAACCGAATGCCAAGAAAAAGAAGAAGAAACAGCTTTAGTCAAATGAATCTTACTGTGTAAGAAGAAGCATTTCAAGTAATAATGTTTTGAAATGTTTTCTTCAGCATTTTGTGCTTTATTTGATCTCCAGGGAAGGGTATTTTCATAGTTGGACAAGAACAAGATACTTTTGGTGGTGGGTTTAGTTCCCGTGAAACATTCTTTGGAACTCTGACACAGCTGAATGTCTGGGATCAGGAACTGACTCTACAGGATGTGGATAAAATGAGGTTTAGCTGCGAGGACTTCAATGGCAATGTGATTTCTTGGCCCAGTGTCCAGGCAGCTATCAAGGGAAATTTAGGAAGTAGCTCATCATCCTTCTGCACAGGTAACTATGTCAGTGAAGACATTTACATAATTTGTGAGTTTTATTTTCTTCTTCTTCTCCTCCTTCTCAGTATCCTCCTCTTTTTCTTCTTCTTTTTTGCCTCCTTCTCCGTATCCTCCTCTATTTTTTTTTTCCAAACACATAATTGTTCAATAAAACCCCAACTAGCTGCATTTTTTATGACATGCTTGTTATTAGGCAGAAGATTTATCACCCCTCCCCTTCCCCCCACAGGAAACTTGCAACTTTTAAGGGGGAAACAAGAATATTACCACTGCAAGCTACTGAACATGTCATAAAAGGCGACTAAGGAGAGTACTGGTCTTGGTGCTGGCTGCCTATCTTATGAACAGTTTTTGCCTGAAAAGCCAACAAGCTATGAACATGATGAAGAGCACGTTAACTGAAAGCCTATGTTCCATTGAGGAATGAAAGGCAGAAGAAGATAAAGCAGTTATGTCTGCCTTTGTTTTATTGGGGTCTTAGAGGACAATAGAATGCATCCTACCAAGCATGTCATAAGAGACATGTTTGGTCTTTGGGTTGGTGGCATATCTCATAAAAACTATCAGCCTGAAAAGCCACTCAGTCAAGGTAATATATAACTTGGTTGAGAGCCTATACCCCATTGTGGAATAAAAAAATGGAAGAAGAATAAGAAGAAGCAGTTACCTTTCTTGTGAGCTCTCTGGGCCCCAAAAGAGATCAAAGTGTAGTAACCCTAACTTTTTATGCATGTCTTAACTCTTTCAGGCCCATGAATTTTGACAGACTTGGCCCACATTAATTTCCCTTTACAAAAATGGCAGAGGGGTGGGTGTACAAGAAAGGCTGTAGAGACTGTAATATACTTCTAATCCCTATAAGAGTATATATTTTTTAAACGAGAAATGAGTGTACATTCTGAATCTGATGATAAGTGTTTGTTTAATTTTGTTATAGTTAGTGAAAAAGAAGAATTCAGCAGGTGTTAATTTTACAAGGACAACATTTCACACAAAAATTCTTCACTTACCATGGTTTTGCAGCCACAAGAATAGTAAATATCCAAATTTGAGAACAAAACTTCAAAGTTTGTTCAATGTCCTAACATATTCTAAAGTTATGATAACTTTCTGGGTTAGTTTATCACTCAGGGGCTCTTAGTTCCCACCGAGTGCTAAGCAAAATTTCAGAGAAAAAATGGCAGAAAAATGAGCCATAACACACACACTATTTACTATTCACTTTGTACAGTTATTTTCAGACTGTAGCTGCGATGATTTCAATGTAGCTTAGCCATAGTATAGTACTATCTCTTTGTTTAGAGCACTTTCCTTCTCTTACACCATAAATACGGTAGTATGGGACATTGTCTGTGTAATAAACTCGTCAGAATCGCTAGATTCCGAACAGCTGATCGCTCAGCTTCACTGGTGAAAATTCACTGTCTGAATCACTTTCCGAAAAATCTAAATTTTTATTATCATTTTCACAATTAAAAACATCTGACTGAAACAATTTCAGAGCTTCAGCCGCAAAAAGACGCATTCTGCGACCTGTTCTTGTGGTTAGAACATTGGTATTCAGTGCACTCAAACACGAACTTAGAAAATAAACTGTTAAAAAAAAAATTGATGTTTTTTTCTCTCAAATTATCCACGTGTGTTTTAATCCAAGAAGTGAAACAAAAAGGATTTCGGTAGAGTGACTTTCCCTGAATAGGTTATTCGTACCTCCAAACATTAGAAACTAGTACGAAGGCGCATGCGAAGCAAAATGTAAGAGATACACGATTAACGATGACACCGTTGTTTGGGCAGAACGGAACTTCTCAAACTACGCTCACACCGTTGTTTGGGCCTTAAAGAGTTAAAAGAGGAGCTGGTTGCTTCAGCCCTTAGAAAACTAACAGCTGCAAAATTCAACCAATCATAAATAGTCTATAAAAGATCTGAAAGAGGACAGAAGAAACATCAACCTTATAGAGAGAACACATCTGTGATAGCCTGCGCTTGACTAAGACTAGGTGAGACCCTGTTTGGACAGAAAAGAAGCTATAAGGCCCCATTTCAAAAACCCATTAGAAAGTCTCGCAACTCTTGAAAAAATATACCAGCATGCCTCTTATTATTACCATTTAATAAAGATAAACATACAATTTATTTGTACATCAATGAATTTATAAATTACTTAAAAATCACTTTCAGTTTCTTTCTATCAAAAAGACAGTTCAGTGGAGGAAAAGTACAGTCCCCTAAATATTCACACAAACAAATTCTGAAAATCGTTCTGGCCCTGTAGATTGTGAGGTCCTAAGCTGTGTATTGTATTGCTTGGCTTAAATCCTGCCCTGGATATATTTACATGAGCACATGACATGAACAAATGAACACACACATGGACACATGAACACATGAGCACATAAACAAATAAACAAATGAGAACATGAGCACATGAACAAATGAACAAATGAGAACATGAACAAATGAACACATGAGAACATGAGCACATGAACCAATGAACACATGAGAACATAAGCACATGAAAAAATAAACACATGAGAACATGAGCACATGAAAAAATAAACACATAAGAACATGAGCACATGAACAAATAAACACATGAGAACATGAGCACATGAAAAAATAAACACATGAGAACATGAGCACATGAAAAAATAAACACATGAGAACATGAGCACATGAACCAATGAATACATGAGAACATGAGCACATGAAAAAATAAACACATGAGAACATGAGCACATGAACCAATGAACACATGAGAACATGAGCACATGAAAAAATAAACACATGAGAACATGAGCACATGAACCAATGAATACATGAGAACATGAGCACATGAAAAAATAAACACATGAGAACATGAGCACATGAACCAATGAACACATGAGAACATGAGCACATGAAAAAATAAACACATGAGAACATGAGCACATGAAAAAATAAACACATAAGAACATAAGCACATGAAAAAATAAACACATAAGAACATGAGCACATGAAAAAATAAACACATAAGAACATGAGCACATGAAAAAATAAACACATGAGAACATGAGCACCTGAACACATGAACACATGAGCAAATGAACACACGAACGAAGCAAGGTGGGAAGGTATGGCAGCATAAGAGTAAATAAGCTGGAAGATATGAATGATAAATGGATCAAAGGATCAGAACTATTTTTGTAATTAAATGCAGTTGTGTTAAATATTTAGACAATGCAACAAGATACACTCTATTGGAAAAGAAAATACAGTGGTACCTTTATATACATACTTAATCTTTTCCTGATCCTTAGACATATACCAGACAGGATGTACACCAAATGAATTATTCTATAAGGAATAAAGCGAGAATAATTATTGGTTCACCTGATACACACAAATCCTATTTTTTATTGGCATATTATACATTAATGGGGTTATATGAAATAATTTACATACTACCTAATACTAAAATACATAAATACAAAATTAATCAGATGAAATAGTTTAGAGATTAGTCAAGTGCCCACTAAGGCGGCACTGGGATGGGAGAAAGAGATGTTATTGTTCATAAGGAGAGTCTGTTTCCATTAACAGTTTAGGAATCTGAAATTCTGGTGTTTTTTCTGTGTGTTTTTTTTTCTTTCTTTCTCTGTTTGCTGCTTCAACTTGGTTGAGGCTCATCAGGTTTGACTTTTAACAAAAATATGTCCAAAACACTTTGTTTCTGCCTTCTCCTTGCAATCCATTACAGCCAGCCTTCATTGTGGAATTAAACTTGTTTCAATTAGCCTGTGTTTTTTATGGAAATAAAAGCCTAGTGCCAGATCTCTTTCTGAAGTTTCAAGTCATTTACACATCTTTGCCAACTTCAGCATTTCCTGCCTGTTATGTGATTTTTTAAGTCTTTTTAATGTTCAGTAATTTACCATTGCTTTCTGAAAGAAAGATGTTCATACAATTGTCAAAATCAGCGCAAAAGACTAATTACGTGCAGATTATTTCAAACTCTGGTGCGTATTGTCTCCACAGTAGAGGTTAGCTGCAGTGGTTATGTGCATGCACTGTTGTTTTCTAGATATATTATACAGTAGTACCCCAGTCTCTCCATGTGAGCTTTGCCTGTGTTTTTTTCTACACCACCCACAAGAGAAATCAAACCTTGGAATGCCAGACTGTGAAGAGAATGTTGTTTAGTTTTCTATAACTTCTACATGGAAATTGAATTGATAGTGATGATTTTGGGACCTGCTTATTAATCTTTAAGACTTTAGAGCAATACTAAGTTCTAAATAGCATATAAAACAAAGATGTGTTTTTGTGACTATTCTGTTTCTGCAATTGTTTGTTGTTTATATCCACACAGACTGTCCTGTCCCTGCAAAGCCATCAAATGGAGTAGTTACATTCACGGGCACTGCAGCAGGATCTCTAGCAGACTACGTGTGTGATACAGGCTATACAATAGGAGGAAATCCTCGACTCAAATGTCTGGCCACAGGAAACTGGGATGAGCCTCCTCCAGATTGTGTTGGTGAGTCTGTTATTAACACCACAAATTACTTATCTTAACTATAGCAGTATTTAAACTATAAGTTGATAGATGGAATTGCAGATACACTAAAGCTTGTGGGAGCTACATTAGTATTGTGTCTTGATCCTTGACTGGCAATCACATGGTTTAAAATCTGATTCTGAATTGAGGCAGGTTTGATACAAATGTCTTGAGTTCCCTACCCAGAATAGGTCGGGGAAATTCCAAGGAAGTCAAGACCACAAGCATGATTATGATGACCTCATCACCCATTGCTCTATAAAAAATATATAGGATTAATACCAAGTGCCCAGTGCACCAAGGATATGAGAAGGGTCTTTTACTTTTACTCAAAGGTGAAATACCTGTATTTGTTTCTGACGACTTTTGGTGAGAATTTACTGTGAAAAGTCAGTATTCAGTACCAGCAAATTGTATGCGTTAGGAAACTTTCGGACCTACTCATTCACATC